ATTGTCACAAATGCTTACATATTTACTGCAAAATTTAATGCAGTTAAATTAATAAAATATTCAGTTCTGATAGCACATTTACACCATGTCACTGACAGAAGCAGTTCGATACAGTCACATTTTCAATAGCGGAACACATAGGAGAGGTGCACAGTAGGTTTTTACGGAGGTTTGCTTAGATTAATAGTGAATATTTGGGAAAGGTTAATTGAAACACGCTTGACACAAGTTGTGATCTAGACATGCATGTTCATAGAGTACATTTTCCCTAGAGTCACCGAGGATTTTCAACTGTAATTGGGTTCTAAAAAGGGAAAAAGGAGGGAGAGAAAGAAAGGTAGCAACGAGGTAATGCCAACCTCTTGATCATACGGTAAACGCCTGAGTAAGCGTTTTGCGTCTCTCTTGGCGACCTCGGCATAGTTTTTGAAACATTAGCCTCAGAAGTAGCAAGCTTATGAGGGCAACATCGGTGTTACTGATTTGTCGCTTCATCAATCGAAATAGCCGAAAGCAAACAAATTGTTCTGTCCCACAAACATGGGTGGTTTAAAGTCATCGTACACACCATCAATGTTCGCTGGTCAGTAACTCCACTCTCCGTCCTATTGTGCTGTTAGGCTCATGTTAAATTTTTAAAAGAAACTATTGAGTTCTACTTGGTGCTATATGTCTCAAATCCTGTTGAGAAACTCTATTTCTGCAAGTTCCTTTCAAAAACTTGTCTGTCTGTTACAACTAATGAACTATTGGTTAGGCATCATTGCAATACAGTTAACAGTTATAGAGAAATAGTACGGATTTTCAAACGAGATATAAGCATTTAGAATGTGGTGGGAGAGATGTACTTAACTAGCTCAGCAGGAGATATAAAGAGTATTACGGTTAAAAATGGAGCAGTAGATGACTCTAAAGGATCAATGGTAAGTCAATAGGGTGTAGGTGAGAACAGTAAAACTGACAATAGGTAATATGAAACTCACACAGTTATGAATGTTGTTAAAGTTGTCCGCAGGACAGTAGAGTGCATTCTAATCAACCAGTCTACAGTTGAACAGTGTCGATCGACCGATAGAATAACCTGTCTTTTTTGGGGAAAGTCTATTCCATTTCAGTGCATACTTGTTGATGAAGAAGTTTGCTCGAGTTTTGGATTTATACTTCTCAAGTTTGATCGATGATACTTTGTCTCGAAGGTTATGTATAAGTGGGCCTTGGATGAGGATTAGACTACAAGAGGAGTATATGAGCTAGTGCAGGAGTTTAAAGTAGGGGGTTATATTGAACTTAAGCCTTCTTTTCCATTATAGAATCAGCCTAAATTCATTACATCGAGTTGGATAGTTAATGAGCGAACTATGATTTAGGACTTTTGGAGTAAGATTCCTTCGTATACCTTCAAGCTTCAATATATCAGACAGTCGTAAGTTGGAAAATAAGGATGAGCAGTATTCAGCAATAGGTCTAACGTATGTTTTGCACAGAATTGTCCTGGATTCTCTATGAAGGAAGTTACGAAAGATGAAACCAAGCATTCTTCTCACTCGGGTAACTTTATTGGAGATATGTTCGGAGAAGTTAAGGCTGTGCGAACAATGCATTCCCTGATCAGTTACAGATGTGAGTTGGGGGAAAACATTCCTGCTGAGAGTGAGATTAATTCTGGAATATATGTCTCCAACACACATTCAGCCACATTTCGTAGTATTAAGTCCTAAGTTCCATTGCTTACGCCAGACACCGACAGTATTGAGTTGATGTTCCCGAACTACCATTGATCACACAGAACTCAAACTATCATGAATGACTATGGGTTCCTTCTAGTCCTTGTGCTACAACTTTAAATAATTTTAACACTTCCAATTTATTAACATTCAAACTTCTAGTTTTTTACTGAATGATCGCCTTACTCAAAAACTTTGAACACTACTTTTCTCCTTACTTTCTGATATACTTTTTATTCTTCCCGTCTCCGAACTGCGTATAGACCGGCCTCACATCACAAAAGGAAATGGATGGTATATCTGACCAGAAAACTGACCAGCAAACATTGATGGTGTGGGCGATAACTTCAAACCACCCATGTTTGTGGGGCAGAACATTTTGTTTGCTTTCGGCTCTTTAGCTTGATGAGACGACTAATCAGTAACACTGAGGTTGCTCTTATACGCTTGCTACTTCTGTGGTTCATGTTTCCAAAACTATGCTGAGGTCGCTATTCTGTCGAGACACCTGCAACATTCTTACTCAGTCGCTTACAGTATGACTTAGAGGTTGGCATTCAATAATAAAGAAAAAAAACAGTTAGACAGTGCGAGATTTTATTCATCAAATTTTTATTTTTACAAACTCTACTCTTTCAACTAGAATTTCGATTTCAACGTACATAAATCCAGCTTCTTACTTCGACTTCTCTTCTGTCCACCTGACACTGCACAACTCTCCCTACTTTTTGCTGTACTCCTTTATCTGTGCGTTATATTCTTATATTCCCATAATTTACTTTAATTTAAGTGGTCAGTATGAATTTTATCTTGACTTACTACTGTATTGACTACTTCAACATGACAGGTTAAGTAGTGCTTTGGTTATATATATACACTTGCCACACTGCTGCCTTTTTCTCTCTCTCTTCACCTTTTCAGAACCCCATTCACGGTGGGAAATCCTTGGCTACTCTAGGGAACATGCACCCTATGTACATGACTGTCTGGATCACAGCTCGTATCAAGCGCGTTCCATATGACCTTACCCAACAAATTCACTATTGATCTCGGCCAATCGCCAAAAGAACCTATTGTGCACCTTCCTTCCTCATTTGTACTCTACTATTGAAAATGAGGCTGTACAATACTGTTTCTGTCAGTGACATCGTGTAAATATGCAATCAGAAACTGACTCATACTTATTTTAACTGCTATAACTTTGCTGTAATTGTGAAAGCATTTGTGACAATTTGCTCTAGCCTGTAAACTGGCGTGACTCTTGTAACGTAGTTATTTGAGAATAAATTATTATATATATATGTAATGTTGGAGCGATGACCCATGTACATCTGTGAGACAGAACATTCTGTTTGCTTACGGTTCCTTACGGTCTGGCGGCATGAAACTAATCAGTGGTACATATGTTGCGTTTCCATTCCAATTACGTACCTTATTCATGCCTGTAACGTTCAAATGGCTTCACCTTCTGCCTGTTTGAAGACGGTAAAAGGGAGTTTGTTGGTGACTTCCTAAGCAACAGTGAAAAAATAGATTAAATATCACCAGAGCTTAATATCACTGAGCCTTATCACATTCTGTACATGTACTCAATATCTAAAATAACTTGCAGCGATTCTCGACCACCAGTGGTACGTCGAAACGTAATCAACATAAATCCCGTCGAAAATATTAGCCCTTTATGGTAGTGGACAGCGTGTATTGTAAAATATCTCTCTAATTAAGCAACCTATTACAGTAGGTATAATGAAATTTTTAACAGCCTGATCTTGCCTATGAATTGTTATACTTTGTGTTACTCACTGTCATTATTATCGTTATTAAGTGACGTATTCTCATCCATTTGAGTTCGGGAGCTATTATTATGTTATTTGGTATCGGAACGAATTCAATGAACAAGGTAACATTCGTCGGTCATTCAAAACAGCATATGACGTGATTTTCGATTCTTCAAATGATGACTTTTTGCGGCTCACGACTTGACTCCAGTGTTGACGAATGTTCGAATATGTGATTAGAAAAGTCTTCCTTTCCACTTCCGCATATTATACCTTGGCTAGAGCCATTTGTGAGACGGCGGTAGTAAAAAGTTTAAATACAGTTTCGCGGATGAATTTATTTCATGCAATCATTTATGCAGACAAACATGAGAAGAGAAGCGTACAAGCGAAACGAGGCGAACTGGAAAAGGCAAGTTAGCTAACTCCCATGCACTGAAGTAATGACTACTTATTTATAGTCAGGCAATAAGAAGCTAGACACATAAGCATCCACACACCATCAAATATGCGATAATCGATACTGTAATCTAACTGACACAAATATACATATTGGTCGATACTATTATCTATTATTTTAAACGACAAATCACTGAAGTACAATGAATGAATGGTAAGACCGCAACCATTATCGTTAGTTCATGTTTATACCCCGTCAGTGCAACATACCTTCCATGAAGCAAACACATTTGTTCTGAACGACATGGAACGTGTTATTTTTACCTGGATTAAAAGGATTTTTTTGTACCTTTAGAAAGGATAAAACTAAACAACCATTGTTGAACATGTGAAGGCGATTTGATCATGATCAGGAATAATGTAGAAAACGTGAGTCGAAAAAATTAAGGTAAATTAAAGACACTACAAACTCTGTTTCAGCGAAGTGTGAAATTTTGTCAGTCAGAAATATGTGGAATATCTCCTCCAGACGTTAAGCTGTAAATATAATGACGATTTATCTGCAGAATAAAACAAACAAGACTAATTAACAACAAGCAATTTGTCTGTGAAGTTATAAATGTTTTTGAAAAGTCATCTTATGATTTCAAAGCATGCTCTACACACTACGCCAAAAAGTTATTCGCTCTTGCGGTTACAATAGTGCACTGCCAGGATAAATGCACGAAGCCTATTTCGTCCAGCAATTTGTCATGCCGTAGAAATTTCAAGTAATCGGGTATAGTTATGAATTTAGATAAGGCCAGAACTACAGCTCACGCAGAATGATATGGATTCATGATATTCCAGGGTTTCTCAAATAACAAACATGTTACAAGAGACCTGCCAATTTACAGGCAAGATCAAAATGTTAAGATTAGCAACATATTTCTTTTAAAACGGTATAAAGTTACTGAAATATTTCACGAGATTATTTGGATTCCTATATATGGAATGTACAATGCGAATAATTGGCGCAAGTTACGAAGGTCGCGTTACGACCATCATCTACTCAGTAGGGTAAAACCAACCTGTCTCATGACGGTCTAAACCCAGAACACGTTCCATATTAGTGGGTGAACAATCCAACGCTTGGTGAATTCTGCTTCACAATGATAGGAATAGCCGACATCGAAGGATCAAAAAGCGACGTCGCTATGAACGCTTGGCCGCCACAAGCCAGTTATCCCTCTGGTAACTTTTCTGACGATTTGTTTGCTTGCGGCTCTTTACGATCTAGCAGGATGTAACTAATCGACGATATTGATGTTACTTTTCTTTATTAACCACATACGAAACATTTTCGTAACCTTGAAATGGATTCCCTTCCTACCAAGAAATCCTATTAGAAGCAGATCTTGAAAATTATACTGAAAAAGAGCCTACATATGACTTCTTGAACTACAGAGTTGAAAAGAAAACGAATAAATAAAATATCACAAAAGCATCAGATTACTTTGATTGATAATTATATGCTGTGCTTCAACATTATTACTAACAATTTGGTTTTTCTGAATTTCCTCTATTCATACGATTAACTGCTGCGTCATCGTTCGGTTTTAAAAATGAATATTTTATGTTCTGTTCCTCTCCCCATTTTCTTTATTGTTATATTCAGCACCTTATTCCAGTCCTTAAATATTAGTCTGGATATTTGCTGAAGACGTGGTTACTTTACCTAGGAGCCTTTACCGTTTTTGTATGAAGAATATCTAGCAGATCTTAGCACACTCACCTCAAATCTTTTCACATTCAGACTTGGCTCTATTTTTTATTTTTTCGCAGTCACTATCTCGTCGTTACGCGGCCGTTGCAACTCGCGCCAATTATTCGCATTGTACATTGCAGAGTCTGAAAAATTATCTACAATTTTATGTGAAAAATTTTAGCCATCAATATAAACCCAATGTATCTTGTGAAATATATCATTAACTGAAAAACGTTTTACAATTGGCATGCCTCTTGTAACATGTTTTTTTTGGAGAATAAATAATTATTATCATTTTATTATGATTATTACTGCCACAGTGATTATGGGATCATCTTAACCAAACGAACTTGAGACTGTGACTAGAATTTAAGGTTTTTGTGCCAATTTACGAAAACTTTACAAGAGAAGACAATTGATCCACTTAACAATAGTACTGACTAAAAACTGGAACAAATAGTAATGAGACATCTGAGATTTCCGGCTACGAACCTGCTTCACCTGAACCCATACGTAAACTATAGCTTAAAGTGCTCATGACTTCAAGGAAATATTAGATGGCTACTTAAAATCATGCTCATATTCCACATTAGTAGTCATTGGAATATTAAGTTAGGATAAATCAGCTATTCTTAATCTGGCTAGCTTAAGTATTGTCTCATATTTACCCTTAACTCTCATTTTGTTTCCATGTTATTCTTTTGGTCCATTAGTGTCAATAATTTATAAAAATAAATAGCTATGTGAACGTTAAAATTGTCACTAACTGTGCAGTTCTTTTTGAAAGAACCATTTACCAGATGCACTCAGTCACGCTTTCAGACGGGATTATTCTTCCTTTAATTAGACGATCAGAATTTCACACACTACCCTACCTCCGACTTCCACTGGAATATAATTTTAATGTAGCATATGATTTTATCCTTGTCATATTCTTGTTGAATTTTAAGAAACTTAAGAAAAGGTTAGTAAAATACTGTTGCTCAGCTGATTTGAATCTTAGTCTTGCCAAATATTCATTGTAACTTTTATTCGAAGCACTACTGGATAAAAGTAAAAACATCCATTTAATAGATCCTCTTAATGAAGTCTTAATGGATACTACCAAATATCTGCCCGATGATATGAAATTGTCCGTCACTATCTGTGAGTAGCAGTGGAAGAAACGGAAACTGAGAGATGTAATGATTGAAGTCATATACATCACTCAAATGACTTATCATCATGAAAACTACTACCGAGTTCCAATGCGGACGTCATTGGAAACAGTTAAAAACTTTGAAAAACTTGAAAGCATTGTCTCGCATGTCTTTTATCACGGCTGGTTCGTTTAAAATTTTCATAAAGTTATTAGGTATTGTTCCAAATTATTGGATACTGCGTCAACGTTAGCGCAAATATGGTTTTCCTACAACTTTTCGTTGTTTATAACTGTTTCTAGTTATGTGTAAATAGCTCATTCCTTTATGTTCTACTGTCTTCAGAGATCATTTCAAGGCACCGACTTTATCACTTGAAGTCAGTTGGTTCGTTGTGTCGCTTAAACAGTACGAGTGTAGAGCCATCTCAGCTTGGTGTTGCTTTTAATAAATTATGTATCGGCATTCCCAAAGAATCTTCTAGAAATGAAAGACCTGTTCCGATTAAAACTTGGGTGAAACAAATAACACATATAGGCCACGTTTTCATTCTAGTGGTCTTTGTGAGTGCAGCCTAATTAAGTATATGCAGTTAGCATTTTCAAGGCGGATCGACTACATGCGAAAAAGTATATGCTATGTAAATACAAAATTATTGGTCCCTAATGGACGCCTGTCTCTACTGAGGCTTACTAAAACTACTCTCTGTTGTCATATTTTGTTAGTACGTTGTATTTTGCCTTACTTTCAAAATTGATTTCGTTGTCATTCTCATAAAGGATTAACGACTAAGCACACTTTGTTTTAACACTATTTTATATTATACATACGTACGCTTTATTTTACTGCCTAAACAGTCGTGCCATAAACTCATATCATTTTCTGATTACACTTATTAATTTGTTTATGTTACCAATTTTATTTATCCCCATGCCTATTAGATTTTCATAGATTTTGTTACTTGGGTATGATACTTTTATATATTGCACCCTCATCTTTCATGTATCATTGAACTCTATCCAAAATCGTACATTTTTTTACGTAAATGAATTTATATCACATATTCGTGTAAGTAGATAGATACCAAAGAAATGGATGAAAGTGAGACAAAGCAAAGTGGAGAAGGTAAACTAAGAATTTATGATAAGACACAATCAAACTAAACAGATATAAGAAATGCGCACACTCACTCAAGACAAAACAGCCAAGGTTATAGGCGAATTATTGGCAAGATCAAAGGCATAAATGAATAAATTAGTTTTTCCAAGGGCTAGAACAAGCCATGTGACTCGACTAATTATTACACACACTACAGCCAATCTCATGAGGTGAGAATAACATGAATCATTTATATTACGTGATTTCTCATCAGCTGCATACAACCAGATATGTCTTTAGGTATATAATGTAGCAGAAAATTGACGTCGATGACGGAAAGTCTTGATGTTTTCCACAGTTTGAGCAGTTTGTTTTGTAGATGGTACTTAGTTTTTCTTATTTTGTCATTTTTTTCTTTGGTCTATGTAGGATTAATTGTAGTGATTCGTCTGGTTTATGTGCAACGCCTATTCCAAACGGTTTCAGTAGTCATGCTGTAGTTTTCGATAAACATGGTATGCTGATCCTATTGTTGGTTCCTGTATTTGAATTTTGCTTCTGTTGACCGGTTAGATTGATATATTTTGATGAAACCGTGTAGATAGCTGTTCTTTAGGAAGATATCAATTGGATATTCTTCCTCGTTTTTCCATGCTACATGTATGCTGCAGTCTTTCCGTTCTCTAGAATAAAGTTTTTACTCAGTTGATTTTGTGAGTTCTATGGTTGTTGCTACTGTTTTCGAGAAATGTATCAGTGAGGGTTAGCTTTCACTATACTTGGGTCTCCAGTTTTGCTGTCGCTTTGCTGATCAATATATCCAGCAATGATAATTTACTGTTTGACTCTTTCTCTATTATGAATTTTGTCATCAAAGACATTGTTTATGAGACTGTAAGTGTTTGCGAGCTCGTCCCGTTCGAAGACGCCGTCTACACAACAAAACCCACATTATTAGTTTGATTACTGGTAAAATCAACGCTTCTAGTATCTTCATCACTGCTTCTTCGACAACGTTTGATATTAATGATCCCATTGGTGTTTCTTTTGTATGTTCGTACATTTTTTCGCTGAATCGGAAATACGCTGTTAAGCATAGACCGATGAGTTTTAGTACAGTTTGACTCTGAAGTTCATGTACTTTGAGAGGTTCGTGAGGAGCAAGAATAGAGTTACTTCAGTTAAGCTTGGTTCCACTGAGTTGACTAAAGCTATTAAATCGAAGGATATCATCAGTTCGTCGTTATCAAGTTGAATCCCTTCAAGTTTGACCAAGAATTGTATGGAAGATTTAACGGAGTGATTAGATGACTCTACTTATTATTTCAACATTCTTGAAACTTCTCCTGATAATTTGTAGGTTGAGGTTCCAGGGAAGTATTTGATTAGAAGTGGTGGGATGTTGGTTTTTTTTAGTTTCAATGTTTATTGAATCTATTCTATTGGTTTGTTAGTAGTATAGTGAGTAATTAACAAGCTTTTATCAAAAATTAGATGAATGCTTAAATATTGTTTGGATTCTGAGAGACAGATTCGATTTTATGAGGTTTATAAAGAATAATTAAATTTAGTTTTCATCATGAAGTTCAATTGTATTACTGGCAGCGTTGAGTTTGAAATGGGGCTCATCTCTTTAGGAGCCTGTTATCTGACTTAAAAGTGTACGAACGCTCGAGAATGGGTTGAAATAAATCGTCGCTGGCGAATCCCGTTTGTGTGACGGCGGTGACTAAAAGCTCAATACGGGTTTGCGAATGAATTTATTTCATGCATTCATTTAAGTAGACAGACATACCGATAAAAAGTTTTCATGCGAAGCGAAGCAAAGTGGAGAAGTCAAGTTAGCCAACTCAATGTAATGAAGTATGACTAGGTATATTTAATCAGGCGAAATGGTCTAGACATGAAATCATGGAAGTAAGCATGCGCGCAGATTACGTACTTACTTGCACCTGTTACCCTCAGAGGATCAGAGGCCGCTGACCAGCATTCTGTAACTTGCTCTGTCCTCAGCCTTCTTGTCCAATAGATGTCCTTCCTTCTCATGCCCTCTAAGTAATATGTTCTTTAGTATGCCTGTTTTCCTTGGACCTTGAGGGTTCCAAGTGGGGGTATGCCTTGTGATGCAGTTAGGTGCTTTCCTTAATGTGTATCATATCCACCTCCAGCGCTTCTTATTGATTTCGACCTCTACTGGAATCTGGTTTGTCCCTTTCCACAGTAGGTTGTTACTAATGGTGTCTGGTCAACGGATCTAAAGTTTCGTGCGTAGATAACTGTTACCAAACACTTGTATCTGCCGAATGATGACTTTCGTGATTCTTAAAGTTTCTTCTGCATAAAGCACAACTGTCTTGACAGTTGTATTGAAAATTGTGACTTTGGTGTTTATTGATAGTTGTTTGGAGTTACACATGTTGTTCAACTGCAGAAATGCTGCTTTTGTTTTGTCGATCTGTGCCTTCACATCAACATCAGATCCACCTTGCAAATCAATAATGTTGCCTTTATATGTAAAGGTTTTAACATCCTATAAAGTATGATTTGGTTTATTTATATATTCAACTAATGGATGATTTTCTTGCATGTTTTCCTTTTTTTGCTTCTAATTTTCAAGGTTTTCGTTATGAAGCGAACAATAGGCGTTGGTTATGCTGCAGTTGATAATTCTATATTCGTTAAAGAAAATATTGAAATGTTTTTAAGTTGCGTAAAAGCTATTTGTGTTGGTCTTTTAAATGCATATCGAAATCCATCTTCTTCTTCTTGTACTTTTTACTACAATTACTCATTAGGTGTCTTTTTTCTACCTATAATGAATTTTTTCGTCTTATTTCTACTCACTTGTTGATTAGTTTAAAATATCCTGTTATTTTAATTATCTATATGTAATAATTATGTCTGTTAAGGATTTCACTGCTTTCATATTCATATTTTATATGATCAAGTAAATATGAAATTAATTCAACAATGGTACTTATGTGTCAGTAGGTAAACATTTGAATATTTGATGTATGTATTTGTTATTTCTTTTAAAGTGTATTCTACTATTTCGTTAGAAAATTGAATGGTTGTATTGGTCATGAAAGCTTAGTGTAGATTAGATTAGAGGCTTCAGTAACATTTTGATGCTTAACTAGAGCTCATGAAGTGCAGACTCGAGAAAACCGGGCCGGTTTCAGACCTTAGCGTGGATTTATAGACCAGATATTCACACTACGTCATGTCTTAGAACATAGACATACGTTTAGACGTCCCACAATAGTAGTATTTATCGACCTTAAGTCGGCATTTGAGTCTGTCAATCGTGAGGTTCTGCGGTAGTGTCTGTCATTAAAAGGAGTACCAAAAAACTACATTATCTGTATACGGGCTCTCTACTCGAACACTACTAACCAAGTGAGAGCCTGTGGTGAACTGTCATCTAAAGTGATTACTTCAAGTGTTGTTCGTCAAGGTTGTCCGCTTTCCCCATTCTTATTCAACTTTATCATAGAGACAACAACTTAGAGATAACACTATCGTCGTCTGATTCTTCAGGCGTGGATCTTCTATTAGGAAACTAGCTTGTTGAATTGAAATATGCCGATGACATAGTTCTATTTAGTGAAGACACTGAAAAATTGTAGTTTTCTAAACACCTTATGCAACAATGCAAGCATGTTCGGGTTGTGATTCTCTCCATAAGAACGCAAACTGTTGCTTCAGAATTGGCTTGCGTCCACGCCAGTATCAATGATAGGGGGTGAAGTAGTTGAGCGTGTCGACCACTTCACTCATCTCAGGAGTCTGATCAGTGCCGATTGCCAGTCATGTGACGTACGTATATAAAAGGCTGGACTGGCTTTTCCTAACTTGCGTCATTTATGTCGTAGGCGAGATATCGGTTTGCTAACCAAAGAATGAATGTACTAGGCACCAGTTCACTCACTCCTACTATACGGGTAAGGAAATTGGCTGCTAAGAATGGAGGATATTTGTAGATTACTAGTATTCGATCACAGATATCTACGAAGCATTGTTCGTGTATCCTAGGACCACAGATTAAGCAATCCTGTTGTTAGGAAAAACGTACCAGGTAAGGAAGACACAAATTCATAAAGTAGTGTATCTTGATCAGTCAAGATGGTTGAGATATGTGTTACGAATGACTAACTACCGAATGGCCTAACGAGCTATGTTTTGTGATGTGGGAGTAGGTTGGAAGAAAGCTAGGGGCGGCCAGCAAAAACATGGCACAAATCCATAAAGTCAATGACAGCTAGACTGAGGCATGTTGGTATGTGTAGACTACCAGGTTGGGGTTCGCGAGACAGTAGTAACCGATGGTTAGAGACGTTGAATGACATGTTCCAAAATCATTTGCAATGGCACGGATTCACCCATTCTGAATGAACTGATTTATCTGACTCAAAGTTTCCAGCAGTAAGGAACAAGTTATATCAGAATCCTAATCACACACTAGTAAAATTCCGTTACAATTAGTGGCATTCGCTAGTTTCTGTGCATCAGCCGGTAAACTAAGAACAATAAATGATAAGAAATAGATACTTCGCTGTAGCATCTCACAGAGAGGTATCATTGACTATAGTTATGCATTACACTTACGAAATATAGTAAGGTCTACTCATTTCTATCTTACTAAGCAATTACCTATAAAGTTATCTTTGTCATGACGCGTCTACTAATGCTTTTAATCAGGATGTCATAATTTCCTTAAACATCCTCGAAATAGACGATTTATTTCAAACAATATATAATTCTTAGCATCTCACGCATTTTGTCGAAAACATTGTAATTGCCTTCCCTGATTTGGAAATATTTCTTAAATGTGAGCATTGAATTCAACAGAAGACAAATGTGATATTTGAATTGATTTCTCGAAGGGTCGACCAACTTTGGATTCTGTTGCTTTATGTTTGTCATCAACCCTGATTAAATTTATTGAAATTTTCGAATTATTCCAAATCGAATGATCTTTCACAGCTTTTCATGTTAAAGGACTTAGAGAATTTTTATTGTATCGTTTTTTCGTTGAGTCCTTCATTGATATCGTTTGTCATTAATTGTCACACAGGTTCACACCACAGATAAACCTTGCTACCTTTGGTGAAACTAATCCTCCAGATCCCCTCCAACCACAGACAGTAATTATCGAATTATCGTAAAGTATCCATATTGACTTCATTGAGCTTGTTCACATTTGAAAATCTATTGGTTAATAAAAGTGTCACGAGTTTTTTTTCAACAATAACATCTGAGCATTTTCATTAATAACCATGACCTTAATTATTATTTTGATCGATAAGCAATTGTTAGTGATTTATCTCAATTATACCGAAAAAATAAATGGTACAGAAATGAAACACTAACAACATCCAGAAATGGAAGAAGATTTTCTTTCAGATCCTTCGTTAACAGATAACTCTTCATTTAAAGTAAGTAATACATTGTATATTTTTTTTATGATAATTGTGAATTAGATAACCAGTTATTTAATCAGAATAAAGATATTTAAGTAGTTGGGTTAGCGGTTAAGTCGAAATGTGTACAGCGTATCAAGCAAGTATATAGTACATTGGGACACAAAACCGATGATAAATGCGATTTCGTTATTCACACTGAGCATACTCTCCAACAAGTCACAGCGGATTGGAATGAATGTCTCAGTCACTAAACTAAATAAGGACACGATTATCTAGTCAACGCTATCAGAAAACCGTTTATTGATAAATTTCTCAACGAAACAGTGACATCTACAGTGCAAACAACCAAGAAACAATCATTTTGCAATCTCTACTTATTGACATGTAGGCACTCAAAAACTCACACTTGACAAACCATGCAGGCATATGTATATTTAATTATATCCCACGTCCTATGAATTAAACGGATTCTTTGATGTTAGCGATGTTGAGTCAAATGCACTGACTATCACCTTAAAAACACAGACTGGATTCTATTAGCTTGAAATCTTTCATAACCTAAAACCTGAAGAAAATTTTCAATGCTCGTGGGTCCATGAGATTCTCATTCTCGCTGTGCAACTCCTTGTGTATGTGAGGCTTTTTCTTCTTCAAGTCCGGAATATAACAGCAGCTCTCCTGAAGCTAGTCTTAAGTGTCAAAACACTGTCCAACGTGCTTCTCTCATTCCAAGTACCATCAGATTGTAACTTAGATGACTCACCCAGTCTCCCACACTGTACGAACATTCTGTGTATCTAAATTGTTGGTTGCTCTGGTTTTCAGAATGGGCATCGGCCTCGTGACTTCCAAAGGAACTCAGCTTTCAACGTGAGACGCCATAATTCATCTAAATGAAGACCTTCTAGCTCCTAGGGCTAAGTTCAAATGGTTTGAATTATTTTTACTGTTTAGTGTTTTTTAGTGATTTAGATTTCTACAGGATAGTGTTGCTATGCGCATACTAAACCATCCTCTTTTATCCGGGCTTAGGACCGGCAGTAGCCCCAGGCGAAGTCCTAGTATCTTTAGTAGACAGTTATGATGATGAGCATAGAAAGTTGTAATTACAAGTACATATTTTCATGTTAAATATGATCGTGATAAAGAACTGTGAATTTCTGTAAAACATTTTTTGATAGATTCATTTTATATATCTCTAGTAATTGAATAAGTAAAAGGTATGTACATCATGAATGTTATTGTTGTATCTACTTCAGTTGAATAGGAATTGTGTCACTCTCCTAATGTGTATTCAGATTACACTGTGGTAGTATTTAGATGACACTGTTTTTTTGTTGACTGTACAGAACAGTCTACAGAATCCATAGAACAGACAGAATTTTACAAGAGTGAATTATTTTGTTAGATTGAATAGATTAAGAAATATGGAATACAGAAATATTACCGCATATACGGAACCATAACATACAGTCGATCGATTTGCGTTAGTCATCATTAACCTTGACAATATTCAGTAGAAATTCATTAATCTGTCTTTTATGTTTTCTACTTGATGTAACACCAAACCACTGTACTAATGACACACCGAACGTTAGACCCCTCTGTTCAAAAATAAGAAGACGGAAGACGTTGGAGAACGCTTATTGACAGAATCAAAAATATAAAATCAAACATGCGTATTTATACAATTATATCAATGTCGTTTAAATATTTTGAACATTAATCAAATAGTTCATCATGAACATTATTCATATAGTTCATCATGAACATTAGTCAAATAGTTTATCATGAACATTAAACAAATAGTTCATCATGGGCATTAATCAAATAGTTCATCGATCCACAATGTGCGTGGCTTTCTTCTCGATTGGCTATCCCAACACTGTCATCTAATGTTCAACCAGTTCATTTTGACGTATGATTTAGCTAGGCCTTGGAGATATTTCCTTAGTTCTATACAACTACCAATAAACTCACTGTCATTCAATGGAGAAATTATTCAGTGTTGAAAGGGATAAAATAGACTATGTGATTTAAGTAGAAACTAGTGAAATGTAGCGTCTACAAGTGAATTAATAAGAACACTCAAAGAAACTATTGTACTGAATTGAAAGTATGCTAGAAATGTATAAAAGGATGATGTTTTGACCATCATTACTTTTGACGGAAATATGTCGATTATGTTATGGATCAATGAATCAAAATTGGAGTCTAGATCATATTGATACTTAGCAATGTTAGAAGTATCAAGTTTGTCGTAATCCTGACTAAATTTCAATCAATTTCTTGTGATTATTTGTGAATGCTTAAAGGATAACTTCGAAATAACAATTTCGTAGCAAGTTATATACAGTAAATAAATAGTAGTTAGCGTGCAATCCAAGATGCGGATTTTATCCTATTTCGGACTCAACAGATCTTTGGACCTTTATTATAACGTCAGCGTTTACACTGGATTCATGTTAACGCACTGCGCATATGGAGTCAAAGGTACTGAATTCAACTCACAGTGTAACCATCAACATAGTTTTCAGTACAACCAACCAATGAGCGCCAAATAGAACCATACTTATATCCTGAACCTCTATGCTAAGCACAATGTATAAGTAAGTGTACAATACAAATCATAGTAATGAACTTCATTGAAAAATTGTAATTTATTATTCTATCATTTTCTATTTCAATTTTGTAGATTTATCCAAGAAAAGAAGTTTATTATGATCTGCATGATGTCACTAATTATCAAGATAGTTTTTGGTTTAGTCTTCCTTCAGATTTAAAAATTCTTGAAAGTAAGCAATCATTATTTTTCATAATGAATGCAGTTAGCAAGTATATCCAATTGACAAATGTTGAATTAAACATTATCTCATATTTATTTGTACTAGTAAACATTAGAATGAATAAATGTACCGTATTGAACATTGAATCATTTTTTGATAGAATAAATGAATTCGGAAAAGAAATTTTAACTTCAACAGTATTTCAATCAAAGTCAATCGAATAAATTAGTCCTCAGCGGAGCATAGACTGTCGACCAACATTCTCCAACTAGAAAAATCACTAATAATTTGAATATCAGGTGTTTTATTAATAAAATTGAGTAATTTCTATACAAACACCTATACTAACAATGATCATATTCTGATAAGTCGTTAATTGTAAGAGGTATTACTAAGTGTTCAATTGTGTAGCTAAAATAAGCAAGTTATATGACTAATATCACTGATGTTAGTGGATTATATAGTCCTATACAATGTAGAACTAACAAATAAAAATGTAAAGCATAGATTTCAATTTAAAGTAATCGCTAGAGAGAATTCTGGCTACATCTCATGATTGTCATACTAGAACAAACACAGTTATTGTTAGGATATTTATCCAATATCCTAAGAGAATTATTAGTCAAATCCTATTGGTCGATTTCTATTGGTCAAAATTATGGTCGTTTTAAATGTCAAAGTCAAATTCTTCAATGTTGTCTCTTAGTGGTCATCCGAACTGTCAATCTCACTTCAAATGTTCTTTCTTATTGGTCGTCTTAACTGTCAATGCCACAGAATTCGATGCTGTTTCCTATTCGACCAAAATGTATAAATACGCATTATCTGTAACATTTTATGACCACGACCAGGGCTCGATCCCGGACCCCTAGTCCGGAATCCTGGTTCTCTTCTGGGTTCTGACCTCGTACTTTCTGGATGCTTTTAGAACACAGGTTCTACTTTATATCAAGTCTTGTCTTCTTTTACTAAATATGGCGGTTGGGATAATCGGATTTGAGTATCATGTCGTGTCGCCGGATCCTCGCTCTCGTTTTCCGACTAGGTAAACTCGTAATAGTTCAAGTGTAGGCGTAACAGTATTCTAATATTTCCCAATGTTTTCAAAATGCTTATTACAATATCTATCAATCTTCACAACATCATAACAATGACAACAATATTTCGTCATTGATATTTCTTATTAAATAATAAGTAGAATGTTAAATTTTTAATTATTATTTTAAAAGGTTCAACTATACATTTGGAGCATTAAACTCTTCAATAATAATAATAGTAATTTAATTAAGTTCGCGAACCGATTTAAACTGGACAGTCACTGAAAACTCGTCTAGTCCTAGTATCAGACTCTTCAGCCATGAGTGTCTGTGACAATATAACTCGGAATTGAACCTAATGCTTTGAAGTTAGGCGTTCATGCCCGAGACCAAAGATCCTAGGTTCGAATTCCCGTCACGGGATCGTGTGCGCGCACTGCTATTGATAATTCCTAGATTAGGTTGAATTGGACGTCGATTAGTTTAAGGTTTTTAACAGTTGTCTAATTTAGATTGTCTGACGATCGATCTTGAAATGATTCAACTGTATCTAGAATTTGATATTGTTAATAATTGTTTTCCTTAAATGAATTTCAAAATAAATAAAAGCATTTTACACATTGAAATCATGAGTCGATCTTTGTTAGCCTATCATTAGAAACCTGAAAGGCCGTTTTATCTTGGTTAGGAATTCATCAGCAGTGCTCATCCATGACTCCTGCTACTCACACGATTAGAACTCAGAACATTCAGTCTTGTGCACGAGTGCCGAACCTCCGAGCGACTGAGCCGGCATCAACTAACAGACAACTATCAATTGTTTAGTGCTAACTTCTTCATGATATTCGGCTTTGTTTTTGTACTAGTTATACTACTTAGTACTGGTGAGTAGTTTGAATAGTGTAGCAAAGTTAAAAATGAAATAACACCTGCAAGACGAAATGAAGTTCAAATATTCAGGTATACAGAATCGTTAATCTAGATTAGATAGCCTTTGATCACTCTTTTCGAGTTTCATTTTAGAGAAAATACACTTTTTAAAACATGGAAAGAATCAACTGAATCTCTAGTTTCAGTTTCAATTCAAAATCAGCATAAGGTGTCATATATAATGCCTTTGGTTAAATTAGTCAGCGTTAAGATGTGAGTGATTTTTAATTTTCTGGAGAGATTATCTGAAGTTTGTCAGCTGTTCTTTTTGTTGACCACTGATATAGTTAAGTAGAATTTGTAAACTCTGATTCTACTCACGATAAGAATAACAAGGTGTTGTAATGGAACTATATTTGCTCAAAAAGGTCACCCCAGAAATTTTAGCAGCTAACATGTTACTACACATCCATATGGTTGATCTAAACTTTTCAAAAGAATTTAAAAAGACAGTATACGAATAGGTTGTCCGACTTACATATATGTTCTTGTAACTGTACGCTTATGGTTTCTTTCTATAACTGATGACTTCAGTGGGTTTTCTAGTCCATTTTTATTGAACATATAACTACCATTTAAATAAAAACATGAAAGCTCCACAACTAAAACATCCAGTTCACTTAACGAAACTTCATCACAATCATTCTTCTGAGCTACTAATTTTCCCCACCATCTCAATAGCTGACATAAAATTTTACTATGTTAACACTGATAATCTGCTGAAGCGCTACCAACTAGCAAAAGACAAGCGGAAGATAACAGGACCAACCATTCACTCTACGATGTACATGGATGAATACACAGGCAGATACTTCACGATGCACAATTTACAAACGATAGGGGGGTGAAACTAGTAACTCAGAGATCATAGTTCAGTCACAATAAGTTGGGTTTGATGTAAGGTGTAATGATGGTTTGTGAATCAGATAAAAACTGTGAAAAGGACAACACGGTGATTATGAACGGTAACTGTTAATAGTCATTTATTGGAAGTAGAATTAATATCAAAAACTCAATGTTCTTCACGCCTTCTATACTGATTACTAAATTAATCCATTTCTTGTAATGGTAGAGTTTTTATAAATTATAATGACATACTACCAATTGCACAAAGTTCCACATTATTACTTTGTTTTCATCTAGCTATATCATAATTTTAATTACTATTCATGCAGATATGTCAGTTATAGACTATCTACGACAATTTACACATCTTTCATCTAGAAAACATGATTTATATCGACGTATATACAATCACTGGTGTCGTGGGTCTAAACTTCCAATTGATGTAAGTATTAGCTAGTTTATGCTAATGAAAGGAGAAATATGAACATTTATGTTTCTCTTATTTAGTGAATGATTATGATTAGTGTAGCAAAATGTTTCACAACAAACAAAAGTAAAATTCTAGAAGCATATTTAACTTCATCATTCACATTGTCAATTGTAAGCTAATCAGTATTGATGTGTTAACTAATATCTTAAAATATATATATTTGTGAAACTTGTGAAGCTGCCTCAAACTGGCGGTCGTACCGTTTACGAAATTGAGAGGATGAGAAGCGTAAATCGTCGGTAGGTACAGAGAATCTTTCTAGGTGAGGTGGAAAATCCTGACTCCAAACTAAAGGGACTACAATTAGTCCAGGATCATGAGGAGACTAATAATTTATGGGCCTATTGTTGGTCAGTAGCTACCTTGGGAATGCATCTCCTTACGTTGCTCCACTGCCTTGTTGATAAGGACTCTAGACCGAAGGCAAATTTACACTGGTTAGATGTTATACCAATTAAATATCACACTGAATTAAAACATGATCTCCCACTACTTATCTCATCAAGACACTTGGTATACAACAGGTTTACAAATCTTGATGACTGGTTGCTCTTGTACTAACATCCACATGACTGTAATTAAAAGAACACACAGAATGTCTTTTGAAATCAGAAATCCGACAGAAAATATTCTCCACTCTCAATAGAAGGAAAAGTAATTTATCATAAAAAGTGGTATAGTGCAACTGTTTTATCTAATGCAATGAAACTATATCTATTCACTATAGATTGACAAAATACAATCTTGTGTCGAACAGACTGAATTATGCTGAAATAACTGCACCTATTTACTTCTTGAACAAATTATCTGTTTCGTCATTTCACTTATTAGAGATTAAACAATGCATTCGGAGATATTGTACCAGTACAAATTCCAAACAATTGTTACACGTTAGTATTCAATCTAATCGGACTACAAACTACAGATTATCGATATATTGATTTTGAAACATTCTGTTGTATATGTGTGGCTGCAGAACGTCTTGTATTCTTTAAAATTATGTAAGTTCATTTCTCAATCAAATTATTACATATTTTTCAAGGTCGTTTAATGATAGACAAAATCAGAATTTGATGATGATATAACCCATCTACTAGGTACAGATTCGTATATAATCAGTTTTGTGTAAGGTGAGAAAAAATAGCTTCTACAGGAGTAGTTTCAGTTGATTCTTCATGACTCTTTTGGTTAAGGTCCTAGTTATGATTGATCTATTCGTAGACAATAATTTTACCGACAAATTTACAGTAGAACAACTCTGAGTATATAGAAACAAGAATTATTAAAACTGGAGAACCGAAAGTAAATGTAACCAATCAGGAAAACCACGGGAAAACTATCTATTAACTAGCTGGTCATTCTCTCAAGGTCATCAATACCGTAAAACTTCACCGAATACCTTATCAAGTTCTTTCAATAAAAATAAATGAGAAGATATTAGCTTTGTATTTATCTGACTAAGTTCGAGTCAAAAATATCATTAATTATAAAAATTACCGAATTTCTTAATTCTAATTTTAGGAAGGATTCAAATATAACTATACCATCAAAGAATATCTTAGAAATGATAGAATTTCAACGACTACAGTGTCAATATACACAGTTGAATTTGAATGAAAACATTAAACACTTCCTTGATTTAATATTGCTGTAAAGTAGTGAGCTGTATAATTTTCAAGTTTATAGTAATTTGTGTGTGAGTGCAAAATACGAGAATATTGTTTTACATAATGATTTATACATGTAGCGCAATTAACTATTGTTCTTCAATTGTGGATTAAACGTTCCAAAATAAACCTCGATGTAACGAACAACATTTCCAAAATAAGGATTTTATTTCGGTGACTGCTTCAAGAAATAAGATTATATGAAATACTAATTCGTCCGAGGTTTCGATCAGGTAGGTTTCTATCCAAAGAGACCTTCTCACTTCAATAATAATTAAAGGAAGCGAACAGTAATCTCGCCTATGCAACTAATAAGCTTAGTACAAAACTATCAATTCTAAACATCAACTGAAAAAATATCAAACAATTACTTCATAATATGCTGAAATTTATGTGCAACAGACACTCAACTGTCAGTCAGCTACAGTGTAGGATTTCGTACGTATGTACATTAGTTTAGGTTGCCGTACCACATTAACACAGAGATGCAATTGTTAGTTCACATCCCATATTGGTAGAGGTAGTAGAAGTATAAGCAGTCCTCAGAAAGATCAGGGTTTGAAGGCATTATTCACGGAGATGAAATAAATTTGAGAAGAGAAAGATGGAGATCATGAGGAATTCAGGTAGAAATTTAGGAAAACACAAATAACGGATGCTCCTGAGCCATTGCAAACGTTTTTGTCGTTCAGGGTCTCTAACCATCGATTACTGTCATCTTAAAGACCACAACCAGGTAGTCTCCACCTATGAACATGGCTCAGCCAACTTGTCAGTGACTATAAGTGACACTACTCGGTTCCTACATGCGCGTTTCGGAGACGCAGAATAACATCGATGGCACAAGAATCTAGAATCCTAGCTAAGAAAGCCTGCTGTACTACTTGGAACAATGTTCGAACATCGCGACCTCTCCAACATGACGTTTAGAGTAGGGTTTTAGGAGAGCAGGAATAACTTTCCGTGTACTCGAATCGTTAGCATTAGCGGCACGTGGTAAAGGTATGCGAGAACGGTTGGTCGTGAAGACAATAGCGCTGTTAGGAGGTGTAGGAAGGATTTGATTATGAATAATATGGTATCGTGTGCTATTACGGGTAAGAGGGAGGATGTCACTTCCCGACTGCCCACAATGTGGAAAGGTGTTCCCTGAAGACCCTGCAAATGAAGTTAGATTAGTGTCGGTCTTAGAGACCTGGGATCGTGACCGCAGAGCCCAAGTGACAACTGCTTGGGGCCAGTCAAACACTGCCTTCTAACAGGATGTTTTGGAAGCGTTAGCTCCGCTTTTTAAACAGTCATACCGGGAGTCCGTGAGGTAAGGTGATGTGATATTTTTAAGGTCGACCTTTTCTAAACCCTCCCTTCCTTGTGAGAACGCAGCATCACTGCAGATGTTGGTTGTCCGAGGAAAACAACTTACTGTTGTAACACCTCTTTACAATCAGCAGTACGACCGCCTATTGACCTTGAGTTGTGGCTTTTGGTCTCACCGTTGTCCGTCATGATAGGCAAGCCCGACCATCACGTCAAAATAGCAGCTACGGTCGGGAATCTTTTATGATATAAATTTGTTAACTCCAGTTAAACTAGAAAATCTGTATTTTGGCATTTTGTTAAAAAACATTTACACATTCAATGAATAGTAAGGAGTGAATTTTTTTTTCTAATGAGTCGAACAAAAAAAGGAATACAACAGAAAATCATAAGACAAATAAAAGAACTGAAATTTATCTCAATAGGAAAAAAACGAATGCGAATGGTGGACTGGGATGCTATAATAGAAAACAGTTATTTTCACATCGAATTTCAACAACCAACTCTGTAAAAAAAATCAACCCCTTGTTTTAATGTAAATGATAAGATTTTTTTCATCATAAAAAATATACTACTTATTATCGTTTTTTTCGCTCGATCCACACACTTCTTAAACTGACAATGTAAAATTACTTTCAACTGAAAATTCTTTGATAAAACTATCCATAATCAAGAGCAATAAAAAATGTCAAGAAGAACAAATTTTTTTCTTCGGTTTTGTTAAATTTTTTTCTTTTCAATTTGGTAGAAAATACAAATTGCTAATCATAATAATAACAGTAGTAGTAATAATAATAATGAGTATAAAATATGCTAAATTATTAAACGAGCAAAAATAAACAAATCTATACTGAATTAGTTATTTATTTCCTGTTACAATTATTTTTTACATCAACAGTAGGCACATTCACTTACTACTACCACCAGATAAGTTAACTAAGGGACAAAAATGCATTGAACGTAATCAACAAGTGTGTGGAGTAATTACTGATAATAATAACAACAATCGAGTCTATTTACTCTACTTATTATTCTACACACACACACACACACACCTACACATACACATACACAAAGAGATGACCAACTACATTGTACAATGAATGAAACATATTCACAAACAACAACACCATATATCAATATCACATATAATACATGCCAAAACCAAAAGCGAATCCAGGCTTTATTTGATCACCCGGTTGACATGTCAATGGAAAGCAATAGTTCAACTCAATGCGTAGAATACCAGCGAAACGAAATACTACACCCATACCAACTACAGTACGTGGTCGACCTTTTAATTCAGTTAATACATATTGACGAAATTCATTGAGTGTTGTACAATTGGATGGTGTATCAATCAATTTTTGAAAAGGTTTTTCTAGTGTAGAACCTGTTTTGTGTAAAATTAAAGGAAGAGAATTAAGTTATAAGAAAAAAAAAGAAAAAGAAGAAGAAGAAACAGAACATATCGAATTGTTAGGATATTCATCCAATATCCTAAGAGAATTATTTTGTAAGTCTAATTCTATTGGTTAATTCCTATTCGTCGTCCATAACTATCAATGTCACTTCAAACGGTGTTTCCTGTTGGTGGTCCTAGCCGTCAATGTTGTTTCCTAGTCGACCTAACTGTATAAATACGCATTATCTGTAACAATTTATGACCCGGATTCCTAATCCGGGATCCTGATTCTCTTTTGGACTCGGACCTCGTACTTTCTGGATGCTTGTAGAATACATGTTCTGCTTCATATCAAGTCTTCTTCTTTTACTCAATGAGGGTTTGGGACAATCGGATTAGAGCAGCCTGCCGTGTCCCCGGATCCTCGCTCTCGTTTTCCGACTAAGGTAAACTCGTAATAGTTCAAGCATATCACATGACGTGTTGACGACGCACATGCGTAACACGAATAGAAAAAAAAAGAATTTGTACTATCTTAATGCATTTTGGCCTAGTTGAACTAAAACTACCTCAATATGAAGCAGATGTTATAGATAAGATCATTCAATGTACGCTGAGAATGTCTACATACTTGAATCAATAATTTGCACTGATGCTGAATCCTATGAAAATCCAGAAAACCTTACATTTAATTTTTACCTAATCCAAAAATCAGGCGGTACAATCTCATGGTAACCAATGATCAAAGAGAGGCTTATACTCCATTCAATCGTTCAGGATCTTGGAGCCTATGTACAGCGTTGGTTCAGAATCAGTTTCTCAACTTCTCTGATACATGCTCCATTGTATTCACCACGTGTCAATGAAGTTATTATGATTAGACTATATTTTAATTTGTCATAGTTTGAAATTGACTAGTGAACATCAACTCGAGGATCCTGGTACATTTGGCTGACGAGTACCACACATATGACTACGATTGACCAGTCACTTTTAATAACATGCAGTCTTAATATTACCATTAAGTCATATGCATTTCATCAGTCAAGTAAGTATAGAATGCGCATTTCGAACTATTTAACACTCGCCAACTAAATGTAACTGCGCACAACACAGTGGAAGTTCACTACAGGACTCGAAGGCGAAATCATTTGTGAATAACTGAATAATAGTAAAAACTACGATGAATTAGACCAAATGAAAAAAAATGTACTAAATCTATAATTCAATAAAATATATAGAAGAGCTTACAAAAAGACCATACAATATTCATTCAACTACTTTCCAATAAGTAAGGAATAATAATAATAATAATAATAATAATAATAATAATAATAATAATAATAATAAACATCAATGACAATTATCTACCTGCAAGAAAGAATCCATGAAGACGAAATTGAGCAGCCAGTGAACCTTCTTCAGCACCCCAATATGGTAATGGAGTGTATAAATGAGCTCCAGTTAACCAGAAAGCATCAGCGCCAACAGGTGATAATAATGACGAGTTCACAGGAACCGATGTTGGCATGGTTTGTTGATTGTCATCATTAATTGTTGTTGTTGTTGTTGTTGGTGGTGTTGTTGTTTCATAACTGTCTAATGTTTGAACAGTTGGCACTAATAATGGTTGTGATGGACCTACAGTACGCCATTGAAATCCCCGCAGTTCTAATGGTCCACCCAAAAAGAATCGGTCAGAAATATGAACCTATAATATAATATAATATAATAATAATTATTTTTAAATGAATAGAATCTCTTCACCACTTAAGTGATTAGGGTATCAAGTGTGTTTAGAAAACATTGAAATAAAAAGAAATTACTTACATATATATTTGCAATAACAACTAAAAAAAATATTTGTGATTGAAATTTCTAAAAACTACAACCACTTAGGCTACTACAATACACACACACACATCAAGATTATCTATTACAACAAGAAAGTCAGTGGATTTCTTCATTACAGTTTTATGAAGTTACTTTATTGCGTTTTAAGACCTTTTTATTTTGCTCAATTAATAACTATAGTAATATATTCGATACGTTATGCAATTATTGTTGGTGTAATCTTAAATGATAATAATAATGATAATCAATCAATCAATCAAAAACGTAGAATTTCGTACGTACGTACCAGTTCAAGTTGACATACCACATTAGCACAGAGATGCAGTTGTCAATTCAAATCCCATAGTAGTAGAGATAGTAAAAGTATTAACAGTAATCAGAGCGATTAGGGTTCGAAGATATTATTCAAGAAGTAAAATCTAGTGAAAGAACCTCCGCCTGTAGACCCTTCGGAGCAACTGCCGATCCCATGCCCGTATAAAGGAGGAGGGTTGGGATTTAGGGTTGCAGACCCCATCCCGCAAAAAACCAACTCACTAAAAAAAAACGCCAAAAAGAAATAATAATTCAAACTACCATGCTCTGGGAGTTAGAAGGTATTGGGTTCGTCACTTAGTCGATAAACGCGAACGAGACTTTTACCAGCGTCCGGGTAGGCTACCTTGAATTCCCAAATAGAGTAAAATGGCTTGTAAGCGTAGAAAGTATATTCTACAAACACCCAGCAGTCACAGTACAATCAAGCATACAACTCTCGTTTATTTATGCATGATAGAAACCTCCTTGGGACAGTTAAGAAAATAGCACACTAAAATACACAGCAGCCAATCACAGCCATGGATTTTCCTGGTGGGAATTGAAATCTCAAGGTCAACTGATCAGCCCATGCTGGCGAAGGTGAAAACCAAAATAAGGCATTTATCAAACGAGTTTTCGGGGATCTAACATCCCCGACAGAAGGTCTTCATTTAGAAGATATATGACGTCTCATGATGAAAGCCGAGTTCCTTCAGAAGTTATGAGGACCATGCCCCTTTTGACAACCAGAACCGTTTCATGGTCTGGGCAGCCGGGAAGTAACATCCGTCCTTATACCCATAAAAACACACGAGACCACAGTCACAATCAAATAAAAAATTATATTAAACTAATTCATTCAGTATTTAAGTATGAGTTAATGATGAAACAACTCAGTCGTCTTAAATGAAAGCAGAAGGTCTGGAGTGCAAACATAGAACTACTACTTAGTAGGACTGTGCATTATGTGAACTTAATGCCGGATTAGTTATCTATTGCATCGGTCGGGCACTCATTCTATCATATATATATATATATATATATATATATATATATATATATATATATATATATATGTAAGCATATATACACCACTTACTGAATGTTTGGTCAAAGAATGAACTAATCCAGTAGAAAATGTCACTTCTCCTACAAGCCAATCAAATATACGAAATGGTTTTTGCAGTAATCCTTCCAATTTTAATTGCAATGCACGATCAACTAAAGAACCTGTATCACTGTAAAAAAAAGAGTGTTATATGATTAGCTTTAAGATAATCCAATGCAAATTACTACCTTACAAAGAGATCTACATGCTATTTGTAAACAATACTCAAATATGTTGGAACTGGTCATTTTGTCAGTACCACCTGGTTAAGGTGAATATGATCAGACTTTATTAACAATCAATCACTGAAATCTTATCAGAAATGTCAAGTGTTCACTAAATTTATTTATTGCTACAGTTAAAGACGGGAAAAATTTCACTCTGAACAATTTATTTTTTAAGTGGATATCAAGTTCTTGACAATTCGCTTTCTTTCTATGTAAGCAGTGTTGTTTAGAAAACGCCGATGTTGATTTAGGAGAAAGAAGGAACTTTTAAGAGTAGCTCAATTGTTTGTACTGTACGCATGTACCCCAATAACGAGATACAATATTATCATTACTTCACGAGTCCCTACGAGAACAGCAGCACTACGAGCTAGATAAACGTCGCAAAGTGTAAGGTTAGGTGATGAGAGTTCAAATTCTACAAAAAGAATTAGTTCACTGTATAATTGTAAAACCGGTAGAACAGTTGAGATATACAAAGGTCGATTAAAAGTAAATATATATTGCGCAGTCAGTCAACCAGTTATAACACTGAACTTCGTACGTAAGTACATCAGTTCAGGTTACCATACCACATTAGCACAGAGACGCAATTGTCAATTCAAACCCCATGGTGGTAGAGATACTAGAAGAATTAAAAGTATAATTCAGTGAGATAACTTCAGAAAGACAAAGGGTAAAGGTCCTGACGAATCCAGAAGACTAGGATTTGAGAGAACACATTGAGTGGATGCACCTGCACCATTGCAAACGATTTTCAGCCATGTCGTTCAAGGTCTCTAATCATCGGTGACTTTAGTCTCGCTGACCCTAACCAGGTAGTCTACATCTGCCAACATGACTTAGTCTACTTGTTAGTGAATTGTGCCATGTTTTGGTCTGGCCGCCCCTAGCTTTATCCCAACCTACTCCTACACCATAAAACATTGCTTGACGAGGCAGTCGGTGGTTGGGCATCTGTAACACTTGTCCCAACCACCTCAACTGATGAAGTTTCAATATTTCATCAACTGATCTGCCATCCTTACCTAGAACTCGCTTCCTAATGGCAGGACTGTCTACTCGGCTGTCCCACGATACATGAGCAATGCTTCTTAAACATCTATGATCGAATACTAGTAACCTACGAACATCTTCTACTCTTAACGGCCATGTTTCATAGCCATATAGGAGAACGGAGCAAACTGCTGTACAGTAGACTCGTCCTTTGGTTAGGAAACGGATATCTTGCCTTCGCCATAAGTGACTCAGGTTGGCAAAAACCAATCGAGCTTTCTGTATCCGTGCTGAGACTTCGTCAGTCACCAGGCAATCAGCGCTGATGAAACTCCAGAGATATATCGTGCAGTAGCTCTGTCTATTGCTCTCAGACAGTAAAACTTGGTCTATAAAACTAAAACATGGGACAGTTTCATTAATTACTGAATCTTGCTCCAAATATTGGATGATCATCCAATGGAAAGCCGGATCATGTGTTACGCATAACTAATCACCGTTTAACAGGAAGCACGAGGTTTGTTAGTGCAGTAAGTTCAAAGAAAGCTAAGAGATGCCAAACTAAAACGTTGCAACATAAAGTTATCGACTGCTGATATAAGCCATGTAGGTAGATATAGAGTAGCCAAGATCAGCGACCAGTGGTTGAAAACTTAATGTGGCATGGATCCCAATAACCTATTACGGCCTAGTTGTCGATCTTCAATTCCAATATCCCGTAATGCATATTTCCTTCCTAATGATTCTGCAAATCACATTTCTACAGCTCAGCTTTTCTTCTTATCAATGCTACTGTATGCTTTCGATCGCTTTGTTATCTTCATTTTGTTCAGCGATTTAGGCTAATAAACATGTTATACTTTATGTCGATTATGTCTATCCTTTTCACTTTTTTCATTAGCATTGTATCTTGTGAACTATGTTTATGATGATTAGTTTTTCATCGAAGTTGATTTCATTTTGTTTCTGATATAACGCTCCCTTCTTGCTACACTAAGTAGCCTGTCACCACTTTTCTATTTGATTTTAACACAACTCAGATGAAGAATATGGGATTAGCCAGACCACAATCTGTGTATCTTAATCAACGATCAATAGACAACTTATATTGATACAAAAGGGTAGAGAATATATGTGTCATCTTAAATACTTATCAGATAATATACCAGTCTGTTCGGTAAATAACAGATCATGATTTTCCTCTACTCACATAACACTGTTTCTCTGGCTTGATTCGAGCTACAGCAGTTTGCACGGAAATATAGTCACACTGGATGCTACTTTCCGTTAGTCAGTAACAACGTAGAACTTCGTACGTACATACATCAGTTTCAGTTGCCGTACCAAATTAACACAGAGAGATAGAACTGTTAGTTTAAGTCCCATGTTAGTAGACCTAGTTGAAGTGTCAGCGGTAATCAAAGAGATTAGGGACCCCAGATATGATTCGAGAAGTATAATTAAGTAGAACAAATCTTAAAAGAGAAAATTAGATTTTGAGAGAAGAAAAGAATGGATGGATGCATCTGAGCCATCGCAAGCGATTTCGAGCGATGTCATTTAATGTCTCTAACCAACGATTACGATTGTCTCGTGGAGTATAACCAGGGTATGGTCTACATCCAATAGCATGGCTCAGTCCACCTGTCAGTGACTTCATGGATTTTACCACCCTTTCATTCAGCGAGCTCCCACATCAGTTAGCATCGGCCATAGAGGTAGTTAGTGGTTAGGCATACGTGACACATGTCCCAACCATCTCAACTGATGGAGGTTTACTCTTCACTAATTGATTTGTCTTTCTATGGGATATTTTGGAGGCGTTAGCTCTATCCTTTAAATGGCCTTTCCACCAGAGACAGAAATCTATGGGGTAAGGTAAGGTGTGAAATTTTTAGGGTCAACCCTTACTAACCCCTTCCATCCATTAAGAGAAAGCAGTATCGCTGAAGGTGCTGGTTGTCCGAGGGAAACACCTTCCCGATGTCACACTCCTCTACAGTCAGTAGTACGACTGCCTACGGACCTTGAGTTACTGTTTTTTAGTCTTACCATTCTTTGAATGACCTGCCTAGCACGGCAGGACCTAAAAGAATGAGTGTTCCAGCCAATATAGCTCGGTTGGGTTATTACGATAGCAAGCTTGACCAGCACGTCAATGTAGCACATACAGTCGGAACGTCATTTTATCAATGATCAACTAAACAATACAACTAGAAACAACATACATAATTCTAAATTACTTTGAAATTGTACGGTTAAATCCTTGTATTGATGTTCGATACCAAACTTTCACTAGTGTGCTTGTTATTACTAACTGTCTCCCTCTAATATGAGCCTAATGTTAGTGATAATAATATCAATAAGAATAACTAATCTCTAATACAGAGTCATTTCAAAAAGTATTCAGTGAGTATCATAGAAGTATGACGCAACGTTAACCGAAAGTATCATATATAAGGTATTTTTTCTAATATTATTCAATAAATCCCTTTTTTATAATCATGGTTTCCCTAAAAGGAGTATTCTTTAGGCCAAGAAAACAGAAAATCAGTCAGTCAGTTACAAAGTAGAACTTCGTACGTACATACATCAGTTCACGTTGCCGTACCCCATCAACACAGAGATGTAATTGTCAATTCAAATCCCATAGTCGTTGAGATAGTAGAAGTACTACTGGTAATGGAGAAGATTAGAATTTGAAGATGATTCGAGAAGTATAATTCAGTGAGATAACTTCAGAAAGAGAAAGATAGAAGCGATGGGGAATTGAAAAAGTTAGAATTTGAGAGAAAACAAAGAGTGGATGCACCTGCGCCATGTCGTTCAAGGTCTCTAATCATCGGTGACTTTCATTTCGCGGACCCCGACCAGGTAGCCTACATCTACCAACGTGACTCAGTCCACTTGTCAGTGACTTCATGGATTTCTGCCATGTTTTTGTCTGGCTACCGGAAACAAAAAATACTATTGTACATAAAAACATTTGGTTAAAATCCATTTCAGTCATTAAATAACTGGTCGTTTGATAAGCTTATTAAAAATACCAACTGAAATGATATAATATATTAAAATAACATTGATTCATTTTACCTAGAAGAAATCTCACTAACATTAGACTGTCCTGTTTGACTCCCAGGTGTAATAGTGGCAATTTCTTGGCTTATTCTACATAGGTACCCAGCATCCGGGAAGACTAAATCGGGACGAGCATCTGATTCAAAAACATGACGAAGACTAGCTTTCACTGCTGGTCCACATTCTTTAAGGACGCCTAACGGTGCAGTAGGATCTACAAAATTAAAAAAAGATATAACTATTTATAATGGAAAATATTATCAAAGGTGTTTTTCTACTAAGGCAGTGGAGCAACGTCGGGAGATGTAGTCCCATGGTAGCCAATGACCGACAATACGTTCATCCCACGCCGTTCGTTCCATCATGATCCTGGAGCCCATTGTGCACCATTGGTTTGGAATCAGAGTTTTTCAACTCCCCCAAGTAAATCCACCGTATCTACTAAACTGGTTTAAGCATTGAATATTTGCTTTTCATCTCCATTTTGCAAACAACACCGTCACGAGAGCGTAGTGAGTAGGACTTCCCTGATAATATGGCTATGTAAGCGTGCTCTTACGAGAGCATTTCGAGAAGGAGAGTGGACACTCCACACTCTTGACTATACCGTGGCATTTAGGGGCAACCTAACGAGTTATCCGTCTGATAACGTGTAGTAAATAAATATGCATCGACTCATACAAGCACAAAACAAATTACAAGGTAAATCTTACAGAACTTTACATTGAAGATGAATATTCAATACGAATATCCTGTTAAAATCACGTTCATCAAGCTTGCTATGCAAATACATGAGTTGAATGAAAAATATCAACTGAAAATAGGATGGAGCACGACACGCTTCAATATTTTGCTAAGACAAGTAATTAGGCTTTACAGAATTATTCAACCTTGTGTGAAAATTTTCCTAATAGTCTACTAACAGAAAATGAGGTGAATATACATGGAGTGATGAACAGAATTTGGACTAGAACTGATTGATTGATTCACATCAAAAATATTGTTTAAATCATTGTGTTGGAGCTGAATTTTCATGAAAAGCAAACTTTTAAAACTAACTGGAATCGACGTTAAGAATTGCTATCCTACGACGTACTGCCGATAAAAATAGTTAAATGTGAATCCTTCGCTTTGATTTTTAGCAAACACATCTATCGTTCGACAGCCAAGTAAGCAATGCTGCCATTAGGAAACGAGTACTAAGGTAGGGATAGTAAATCAATATATGAGGTATGAAACTTCATCAGTTGAGATGATTGGGACAAGTGTTACAAATGCCCAACCACCGACTGGCTTGACGAGCTATGCTTTGTGGTGTAGGAGTAGGTTGGAAGAAAGTTAGGGACGGTCAGACCAAAACATGGCAAAAAATCCATGAAGTCACTGAGAAGTAGACTGAGTCATGTCAGTAGTTGTCGACTACCTGGTTTGGGTCAGCGAGATGTTAGTAATCGATGGTTAGAGACCCTGAATGACATGGCTGAAAATCGTTTGCAATGGTGCAGGTGCATCCACTCGATGTGTCCTCACAAATCCTAAGCTTCTCAATTCGTCAGCACCCCTGCCTTATCTTTCTAAACTTATCTCACTAAATTATACATCCTGAATAATATCTTCAAATCCTAATCTTCTCCATTACCAGTAATACTTCTATTATCTCTACCACCATGGGGTTTGAATTGACAAATACGTCTCTGTGCTAATGTGGTATGGTAACCTGAACTGATGTACTTAAGTACGAAGTTCTACGTTGTAACTGACTGAAACACATCTAGTTTACCTTTAACTTCTGTTTCTCGCCACACTGCATCCCATTGAAATCTGTGAAGTCCAACAGGAGATTCTGCTTGAACTTCTGTAAAAACTGAGCGTTCGTGTCGCAGAAATTTAGCCCAATAATGATCCCAATTTCCTTCGGTCCCACCAACACTAACACGGACGTATGGATTATTCTCCAATGGCTTTGAAATAGTTGCAAACCTTTGAATAATTAAAGAGGACAAAATTAGAGTATGCGAACGAACAAACGTACTTACGTTGACGATTTCAAACAATAAATAAGTACACTAAGGAAAATCTTTTATTTATAACTTCAGTAGTTATTTTCCAAGATACAAGTAGGTGAATACATGATTGAAAGAGCAGATGGTTCAAATTCATTACACCTGGATTTTATGAAGTTTTACATTTTGCCAACTATTAACTATTTATCGTCTAAAATATATTGATTTCAAGTGTTAAAAAACAAATCTCCAAAACTCACTTGTGACTAGCTTCGTGAGGAAATTCTCGAAGTTCTAGTTGAAAAGACGTGACCAATGGAGTTCAACCCTGTCGGGTGTAGGCAGTAACTATCAAAGACAAATGGGTGAGGTCGCGCGAAATGCCTAGATTGATCACAGACATTAACACCGTTGGATGCCGGCCCAGTGGTCCGATGGTTAGGCGTTGGCGCACAATACCGAGGGTCCCGGGTTGGAATCCTGCGAGGTGCAGGAATCGTGGATGTGCACTGCTGGTGAGTCCCATACTAGGACGAAACGGCCGTCCAGTGCTTCCGGGTTTCTAATGGCGGTCTAACAATCATTGAGTGATGATTTAAAATGTGTAAAAACACAAATCTCCAAAACTCTAACTAAATTATATGTCTTGGCATTTTTTTTCCCGGCAAGTGGAAAGTAGTACTACTGGAAACACTTTTGAATTAAAAAAACTAGCCCCTATCAAACCTGTGGATTCCTAAATCCCTTTAATATGGTGTGACTTAATGCTAAACTATGGGTGCAGTAAACACAATTAACCATAGAAAGAGGAATTCCACACACGTTGCACCACTCCTTTTAAGAATATGGAATTTTAGAATTCACAAACTGATCTAAAGTGAAGTTAGCTTACACTCTTCCATTCTCTTGCCTAGGACCCGTTTACTGACAACAGCATTGCTTACCCGGTTGTCTCCGGATACACGAGCAATGCTTCTAAAACATCTATGATCGAGTACTAATAACCTTAGAATGTCCTCTACTCTTAACGGCCATGTTTAGAATCCATGTAAAAGATCAGAGCAAACTGCTGCGCAGTAGACTCGTCTTTTGGTTAACAAACGGATATCTCGTCTACGCAAGTTGGCAAAAGCCAATCGAGCTTTCTGTATCCGTGCTGAGATTTTGTCAGTCACCAGGCCATCGGCACTGAGACTCTCAAGATAAGTGAAGCGGTCTACACGTTCGACTACTTCACTTCCTATCACTAGTTCAGGTGCCGATGCAAGTCAATCTTGAAGCAAGATTTTGCATTTCGAGATTGAGAACCGCATTCTGAACATGCTTGCATTGTTTCTTAGGTTAGTCAGAAGACTCTGCATTTTGTCAACGTCTTCACCAAGTAGAACTATGGCATCGGCATATTCTAAGTTGGTAAGCGAGCCTCTTGGTTGGTCCACATCTGAAAAATCTGACGAGGATTTTGTTAACCCTAAAAGCATGTCTACGACAAAGTTAAAAATTAATGGAATAGAGTGGACATCCCTGACGGACACCACTTGAAATAAAGAATTCCGATGACAATTCGTCATAAGCTCTAACTCAACCTGAAGTGTTCCAGTCGAGAGCTTGTGTAAGGTAATGTACTTCTTTGGTACACCTTTTCAAGACAGACACTGCCACAGAACCTCACGATTAACAGAGTCAAATGCTGCCTTAAGGTCCAGGAATACAACTACTGTTGGACACCTAAATGTGTGTCTGTGTTTCAGGACCTGTCGTAGTGTGAATATGTGGTCTAAACAACCATGTTCATATCTGAAACCAGACTGGTATTCTCTAGTCTGCTCTTCACGAGCTCTAGTTAGGCGTCTGAGTAGAATGGAGGCTAACAATTTAGAAACTATATTACTTAGACTGATTCCTCTGTGATATTCACCAGAGGACTTTTGTCCTTTCTTGTAAATTGGTACAATCAGGGACTGAGACCAGCTGGATGGGATTAGGCCTAGTTACCGGATTCTACTTAAGATCTCGATTAATCTAAATGCTAAAACTTGGCCACCGTCCTTAAAAATTTCAGGGGTAAGTCTGTCAGGCCCTGAAGCTCTCCCTTGCTTCAGATTTCCTATCGCTTTCTCAACTTCATAAGGATTCGGAGGACTTAAGTCGGTTTCCTATTCAGGATGACTGGCGATCGTGGGCAACGGAAGTGTGGCTGAAGGTCAAATGAACTGATACCTAAAGTGTTCTGCCCATCAATCCAGTCTCCTGGATTGAGAATGAATAATGAGACCATCCTTTTCTGAGACAGTCTCACTTACAGTCGGATTCCTAATATCGGTTTCCTTGATGAGTCTGAACAGTTGTCTACTGTTGTCTATCGCCGTTGCCTTTTCCATCTCCCTTGCTTTTGCTACTCACCACTGTTCGCAATCATTGTGTAGGCTTTTTATCAGCTTGCGCCTAAGATGACTCCGCTCCTCATCACACTCAGAGCCAGGCGGGATAAGTTTTCGAGCATCCATCAAGTCGGTAGATGTTACTAAAATACACGGCTTCGCCCTAATCCTATAGTTTACCTTGCTAGCAGATATCACTACTGTTTCGCAATGTCAAAAGATGTTTTTCCTTACGCTTAAGGCTAGTGTTTGCTAGAGATAGGTTATATGAGCATAGCTGCCGCAGTCGGTTGCCATTATGTTTGATCAGCCGCAACACCATAAGATCCACCAGTGTCTTTCCTTTTTACTTAGTTTACCTACTTGAGCATTAAAGTCACCAGCCATTGTTACTATATCCGAGCGCCTAAATTTTTGGAGGTCCAAAAGCTTTCTGTAAACTCATCTTTTATCTCGCCTGAACTGCAGTCAGTGGGAGCGTAGACAGCTACGACGAAGAGGCAACCGCGAGTGTTCCTATCCTTCCGAGGCCGTACCGTCCTGTTTAGTCGGACAGCACATAAGCGACTGTCTATGGGATACAGTCCAAGAGAGCTATTTCTTCCCTAGGATTACTATACCTACGCCAGCGAGGCCACAGGAATCAGCTGTAGGGTTACTTTAAAGACGAAGCGTAAACCGTGTTGTTTCTCTACCTGGATAAGGTGAAATCAAACTGATGATTTTACTAGGATCCTGTATGCGCGTTCCGGAGACGCTACATCGATTGCACGGGATTCCAGAGTTCGAGCTAATGAAGCCTGTTGCCCTATTTGGCACACGGTTCGAACATTAAAAGCTTATATATGTAGTTTGGTGCGGAGATTTCAAGAGACCAGGAATAGCATTTCATGAGCTCAAACCGTTTGCTTCAGTGGCGCGAGGTGACAAATGATCAAAAGGGTTGGTCGTGGAGATAAGAGTTACTAGGTGTAGAAAGGATTTGATTCTGACCGATTTGGTCTCGTACGCTTTTGTGGGTATGAGGGCAGATGTAACTTCCTGGCTGCGCACACCGTGGAAAAGCCCTGGTTGTCAAAAAGGGCATCGACCTCGTGACAGGCCAAACATAAAATTTCACAGACGTGTTTTACATACGTATTTAAAATATTGAATTCAGAAAGTAACGAAGGTAACCAGATACAAGGTCTGACAAGAAACAGAATAAGGGCAAGTAAAAAATAGAATAAAAGTCGCAGTAATCATTAAAAAGTGCAAACATCATATAGAAAACTTGAGGAAGTCCTAATTTACTATTCGTTATATGATTTTAAATAAGGATAAATCGAAAAATGCTGCTGAAGTGTACATTATTTAAACCTTTAACATTTCATCATACTTAAGAAAGTATAGGAAATATCACAGGAACAAATGTGTATTGAGAGAGCCTTCAAAGTTTACAGTTTTGTATCATGTTCAACATTATCGATATAGCACTAGCGATTAAAAATTACCCCAATAACTAAAGCACTGAAACAATTTAAGGCTACTGAAATATATACTAGAACTTTTTTTCGTCTATCGGAATAAAGATTAACCACGTTTAAATACACAGTATCGATAGTCAGTGGTAATATTTTTACTGGATGTGAAGAGACTACAATAATAACAAGGGCTAAACGTAAGGAGTATTTCCTAAAGCTTTCAATTTCATAGAGGGCACAAACTGACAGTCGCCACTCAGGTTTTTGGCATACAATAATTGATTTCGTCTAACACTTAGTTAAAAACAATTAGTAGTGCGTATAACATAGCAAACAGAAACTGATAGCATTTCTGGGAATAATTCATGAAATCATTATGATCCTATGTTGTGTAAAATCGAACCACCAACTGATAGAAACAAATCTAATTGTTAACATTGATAAAACGCTTATGGAAAAAGATGGGATAAAAAAACTACTTGGAAACCATTTGATTTGAACCAATCTCAACATCAATATCAGCGCATTCAGCACAGCGTGCGAAATTATTGAGACGAACGTTTCCACATGCTTTTGTAATCCCATCAGTTCCATGAGTCATTGACATTCGACCAGTAATGAAGCGCTTCTCCTCAACTTTGAAGGTAATCTAGTCAAATCGAAATGAAAATATACTTGACAATAAGAAATATTAAACATTATTATTAAGTCTCGAAAAGGGAAAAAAATACAGATATGACATCATAGATAATCTAAGACTTAATCTGAGAGTAGGTAAAAACTCATATTGTCAGAATAGTCAAAACGCCAATCACTATAACCTGAACAAAAATATCTTCAAGACGTACCATGTAGAGGACACTGAAGAAAAACTGTGCTTATATGCAACGAATATAACGCCGTAGTCATAGAATTTCGCTAAAAAAAGGGGTTTATAACCCTTTGATTGAAATCCATAGCTCCAACGAATAATTCACTTTTCAACGGGTTGGTTCATTTCCCCTCAAACATAAATAAACTTCTCATGCGTAAGAGTAATCCATAGATACATATACCACCTGCATCAAACCAACATCATAGAAAAAATCTAATCACATAAGAAAAGCTTTTTTTCTAATTTACGGATATACAGCATATTCCTTAGAGACGTCTTTTCAAAATTTCACCGATGAGTTATGAAAAAGGGCTGAACAATTAAGTTATTCTACATATCTTTACTGTTAACAGCAGCAATATAAATGGCGGATATCACGTTATTTAGTCTAATTTGCAGAAACATATTACAAATAACACACTCAACAGTTAAGGATTACAAATATGCGACCGGTGCAATGGTAAACTATGAATTTTTGTTTAACCTTTGCTTAAAAAGTCCCCAGTTTAGGATCAGATTTACCTACAGACGAATTTCTTGGATAAGTTTCTATACTGTCGCACTCTTGGCACGGTTATAATGAAAACAATTACATATATGGCCAACAATTATGTACGATACCAGAAGTGAGTAACAAATAGGATAAAAAACACAAACTGAGTAGGAGTAGTAATAGGGAACAACAAAATGAATCAGTAACAAAGGGTTAGTCCTGTTTATATAACCGATGCAATTTCATGACCAGTAGTTAGGTAAAAAAGAGGTCAGAATATTAAGTAGTCTGGGATTAAATGAGTCTAGTGCAGGAGGCGCTTCACTCATATTACTAGTGGATTCGTTCATTGGTTGAGACCAGCACCTAGTAGCTATACAATATACACCAAATGCAGTCTGTTAAGATCATGGTAAAATTCCTTTTCTTATATTTGAGACGCAAACTAGCAAGTTGCAGGGAAAAGTAACGAGGAAATTTCACAGCAAACAATGTTATTTGATGGAGCAAATCATTTATCTACTTACCAGTTAGGAAAAGAGATCAAACGAAATGCAAAGCTTAATGAGAAACACAATGAAGAGTGAATTTTGACGCATATAAGTCAATCACTGTGTTATCTGCCTTGACTTTCTTGATAATGTTTGATTTGATGGACACTAATTGGAGACAGTAAACGACTTGTTACAGGAGATAGCAGAAGCTTGGGACTAGACGGAAATTTAGTATTCTACGACTAAATATGTGAGAAACCGTAAAATAAAATTTTTTGATGACTTCTACTCAGTTACTGATTATCACCATCACAAACACTTGGAGTTTGCATTACACAGAGATAAACAAAACGTCTCAGGTTTAAAAAACAGCTTTCAGTCACACATTTTAGAAAAAATCATTACTTTGTATGCACTCGGTCTCGAATGATCTTCAGAAGCATCGACAACAGCGAAAACAGACTTGAAAACTCCGAGTTTCGCGAGCTTTTCTTTAGCAACTTTCACATTCTCGAAAAGTTCTTGCAGATTCTGAGACTTTACCAGCTCAACAAACTTAAGGAGGCAAATATAGGTTCAGAAATTCTTTGATACTTGTTTTTTGATTATTGAATCACATGTTCTGTTCAATCCAGACACAATAACCTCATCGACAGTAGCAGGCATAGACTCCAGACCTGAATACATTCCCGGAGGCATGCTAGTAAAGGCGGAAAGTGACTCTGAAACACTTGAATTTTTGTTTAACTCGACTTTCGCATCAGGATAGTGCAGGACAAGCGGCCAGCAACACAGTTGGTGCGAGCTACGTTGAACAGGCCGCCTCCACAACGGTTCCAATAACCAATGTCTCCACTATCTTCGCGAGCTAGTGTAGACCGAATGATTTCTATTTACTCTATAATTGCTCTTAATGTACGGTTCCCGGTATTTGGTAGCGTTCAACTGATGATGGTTTGGTCACTTGAATGCCCTTATTCTGGTCGGTTGAAAGTTTTTTGGAGTCTAATCCAATATCTTTTTCACGAGCTAGTGTAAATCAATTTGATTTCTTCTTGTTCTTTCGGTACGGTTCCAGGTGTTCGGTAATGTCCAATGGATGGAGGTCTAGCCACTCGACTGCCTAATTCTAGTCAGTTGGCAGTTGGTTGTGAGTTTGTATGTCTCGGGATTTGAATGAAACATTTGTTTCATGGCAGTAGGGTTTCTGGATACTAGCAGCCGTCACATTACCAAACCGGAGATCAGTTAGTTGCAATGTGGAGAGTAATAAGGGTAATAAGGATAAATTAAAATGATAATATGAGTAAAATTTCAGAACTGAGTAATATATAGATGAATTTAGTTTATTGATTGGTAGTGAAGATTGTGAGAGAGGACCGAAGTGTAAGCAGGGGAGAGGAATAGGCGAGATAGATTAATTGAGTGATCTGAGGAGATGGCAATGGTAACAACTAGCAGGTCTCAAGATATGCATCAGGCACAGCTTGTCCAAGATGGAGATGATAGTCCGTATGTGAGTACGTGATTATCAAGTCTCTTCTTAAAGCAGTCCACTGAGGGGTATCTCCCTTGGTTTGAATGGGTACTTTTGTGGCTGGAAAGTAGGGTTTCTGACTACCAGCTGCTATCACATTACCAGGCCAGAGATCATTTGTTTGCTCTGTGGAAAATAATAAGATAAAAGTCTAATGCCAATTAGAAGATGATTCCAGAACTAAGTTAATAAATGTATAACTGGGTTGAATTATTGGTAGTGAAGATTGTGCAAGAGTACCGAAGAGTAAGCAGTGGAGAAGAAGCCGAGTTAATAAAAGAGACAGATAAAGTTAGTGATCTGAGGGGATGGCAATAATAACAACTGGCAGGTCTCAAGACATGCATCAGGCACTGCTGGTCCACGAGCGAGATGATAATCGATATGTGAGTACATGTTTATCAAGTCTTTTCTAAAAGCTGCTCAATCCTCAATGGATGCAAGGTCCTTGAGAGGCACCGTTTAGTCCTTTTCGCTTCTAATCGACCTTCTGATCCTCAGATCATCTGCTTAAATCATAGCCGACGAGCTAACTTCGTCTAACAGAACATCAGTGAATACCAGGAAGAGAAGTGGGCTGAAGATGATCTACTGTAACACTGACAATAATGAAGCTGACCGAATTGCGTGCAATATATTCACCTATGTACGAAACTTTCTGAAACAAGATAGGATTGGGTCACTGAAGCCCATTTCCGCAAACTTCGCGATAAGGCGTGTGTGGGGCAGTGTCGAAGGCTTTTTCAAGGTCAGGAAGTATTATGTGCACTGGTATTTTTTTTAACGGTAGGATACAAAACTGTGTTATGCTATTAGGAAATCGGATGCGCTCGACCTGCGTTTCCGAATCTCAGGTTCAGACTCATATGGCGTTTCGTTTTTATCCATGTGCTCTCTCATCTGTTCGTTTACCAGCCGTTCCATTACCTGCGATAGTAATAAGAGTAATGCGACTAATATTTGCGGCTAATATTTTCACAACTTGGTGGATTTCTCGGGCGTAAGGATTTTAGTTTACTTAGTACTAAGTCAGGAGTGATTCGGATATTTACCCAGCCGTTAGCTGGAATTAGGTTAGTGTAGTACTCTGAACATGTGAATACCTGGTTTAACTGTGTGACGAAGTTATTGTTGAGGATCTCAGCCATTAACTTCGGAAAATTACAGGCCGGACCAATGTTCATATTTATGGCTTGTCTTTAAGTCAGCAAACTGTCACAATGACATTTTTATTCACACAGAAGTGTTTTATTTGCAAATGTAAGAGACCAACTCACACCAAAATATGATAACTAATAACTACATTTCAATAAGATAAAAGTGTATGTAAATATGGAAGGCTACAAATGAAAGAATGGTAACAGGTTCGGTTTAGTAAACTGTGCGATAGTAGTTCATAGATTGATTGAAAGCTTGTGATAAATGGGACATTCGTACATAGTATTCTAGATACTTAGTTGTTATGAAATTAGAATATTCAAAGTAGAATTTGTAATCTGTAAATTATTCCTAGATGTTATCATTCCTTCAATCTTCTTTCTGATATATTTGTGGTAGTACACTACTACAAAGGTAATACAATTGCTGAAATATAAAGGTTAATTATTGTATTTAATTTCGACTATAATTGTTATATTATACTCCTTTTGTTTACCTGCACTAAAGTCTATCTTTTGCGCACCAAGCGTCTTATTCCAATTCCATTCCTCTCCTCGGTTGTTGTTAGCCGCTCCTGTACGCTGGTCTCGAGATTATTTCTCTGTCATGAGGCTAGCGATAAATATACTTCTTCATCCAGAGTAGTCTTCTCTTTGACTTCTGGGTTGTCGGGCTTTACCTTAGTAATCTCGCATATTTATTTATTTTAACCCTCTATATATCAATGACATTTTCTCGTTGGCGTAGATTATTTTCATGGTGAATGTGATAAAAAACATAGAATCACCTAACATCAGACAGTACTATCACATATTTTTGTCCTAGTTAAGGAATTCTGTTCAACAGTCATTAAGCGTTGATCGTCACTTTTCTATTCGTCTGATAAACTGTTAACTTAAAAACTGGAATTAATTAGTAGAAGCTAATGAGTACAATGAATCACACTTTTTAATGTTTGATTATAAGAATAACTTGAGATTTAGGCTAACGTGTTCATAAGCGCAATAGATGAAGCTATTTTTATAGATTACATACACTCTTCTAAAAAAAATTCAGCATTGCTGCTGAATATCGATAATAACTGTTGTAAAAACACAACTACGTTCATTTGGTCCGAAAAAATATATCATTGAAAATACTTACACGTTCGCCAAAAAACAGTACAAAGAAGTAACATTTAAGTGAATTGACCCTCCGCCTACATGTTGCAAATATTCAACGCCAATAATTACAATAAAAAGTATGAATATATATATATATATAAATATCTATGAACTTAACTATTGAAATAGATGTCGAAAGTTTTTCATTAGGTAAGAAATAAACTGTTAATGAAACTTTACAAAAGGCAATTATCGTAAAATTCAGTTCCATCAATAATATTTTCATTTTAGATTACGGTATAATTGTTTGATCTTATCTTACCATTTTGAAAGTTAATTGAAGAATCCGCCAATCACCTCACTCATTCCAATGAACTGATTATATAAACGTCTAGAACTAATAGATATATATATACCCGTTAGAGAAAAGTTGGCTGGTAAAACACATTAATTGTAAATATGATACAGTCTGTTAGATGCATCATCAGTTTGATGGTATTCCTGATCAGTAAGTTAATTTTATTTTAAATAACAATTATTATTATAACGTAATATGTAGACATACAGGAAGGAGAAAGAATATATGCAGTTATTAGATATTGATAGTTAAAAAATCAAATTAAGTTAAACCACTATCAAATAAACTAATTGAATTATTAGTTAGGGAAATTAAAACAGGTGACATAAAGTGAAAATATATAGGGAAACTAATAAAAAAGGCGGACATTCCATCAGGAAAGTATCAAAATATCAATGATCTGACAATGGAAAAATTTTCGAAAAGCACTTATATGTCAACCGATAATTGATTATTTAATATGCCATTTTAATGTAATTGAAAAAGCAAAACAATAGAATCATTAACTGGTGAAGTAGTTCAAATGCACCTGTCATCATATTTCTTTATTTATTTCAGCAGTCTCATCAGCAATCATATCAAAACAGAGTGTCATTACCGAGTATCGACCTGCTTACTTAGGAACCAATATGATTGGAAGTTAGTTGAAAATAAACATTTACTCATTCTGTATTCCGTATCAACATCCATGTAAAACTACTTTTGTTGAACACACTTTTCAGTCTTATCACAGATCAATATATGTATTATGTATGTAGGTATGTAGGTATCGGTGCATAGATGTTCATGTCACATGATATTGTCTTTGTATGAAATTGTGCTTGAAAAGTATAATCATTGTGAACAGGACGGTAAATTTGTTCGCTGTGTATAAGTAAGATCAAGTAAATGGTGAGCATCGAATTCACTGAATCAAATGAGTTATATGTAGAAATCATATTGCTGATAATGTGAAATGTGATTGAAATTGTCGATCAAATACATCAGCTCATACCTGTAAATTGACAAACATTATCACGAAAGTCACTGTCAACGAAACTCATCATTGACCTGTGACTAATAGTTCGTTGAATAGGAGACAACTAGTGTTTGCATCATTGACTGAATAGGTTATCTGTATTGGCTACCAATAACATAGTTATTTCATAGATTTATTTATTTGTTTATTGATTGAAACACATAAACATCGGAATGTGTGGTGCACCTGAGGATTATCAGTAAAAAAATTGGTTTGACTGACATAAACAGGGACCATGCTTCTCAGTTGTATAGTCATCAGGCTTGATTCTATGATATATATGGATATTTCTGATGAAACGTTGAAGCAGTGAGGGCAATGACATGTAGTACACAACTACACTGAGAGGTTGAGTGTACGAATTGATAGTAAGTAGAGACGTGTGCTAGTGTTAGTGTAAGCGGAGAATAAGTATTTGGTCAAACATGGGTGAATGGATTTTATGACTGCACAAACAACACACATTTAAAATTAAGAAACAAGAAGTGTGAAAATAACTGTTCAGTTAGGAATGAGAATGAGAGAAAGTGAGCAATGACAAACGATGACGTGTTGTGAGAAGTAGTTACATCATGATCAATCATATCTGGCAAGAAACACTTTAATTTGGTCTACAGGTTCGAATCTCTATAGCTTCTACTACACGAAACAGATAGCATTCAATGCCATTAAGAAATATCAAAGACATACTCTAAATCAGTCAAAGTAACATAGTTTTATCTACTAAATGGTCATGGAACACACAATTAGGATTCAGAAACACGAATTATGAAAATAACTTTTCAGTGAGGAATGAGATTGGAAGGAAGTGAGCAATGACAAATGATGACAAGATATGAAAAAACGAAAATTATGTTTCCAAACACATATGACAAGGACGATACAGGAGTGTCGTTTATGATTTCAGAGGTTGTGTGTTCGAGTATCTATTGCTACTGCCTGTTGTATAAGGCTCGAATGAACCCTATCAGGAAATAGAAAGAAATAACAACACATCACTTGAAATGATTCAGTTTTAATAATTTCGTGAGCTGCTTGAGTCACTCAATGTCAGACTACCAGTAACAAGATGATGAAAATAATTCATCCCTTTGAATTCGATTGAAACTCTCACCCTAGTGTATTCTTTCTTTCAAACAGATGATTCAGCAACAAGTACTTTACACATAATTCTAGAAGAGACGTCAAAAATAATGATTTTATGGAAAATTTGGGAGGAAGATTCTATTCACAAGGTTTATACGGAAAGATCAAAAGTATTGAGTAGTTCTACTTTTATAAAGCGCGTAGAATCTAATTTTGCTTTATTGTCACCGATTGGGAAACCGTGCGAAGCTAAAACGTATAATGCAGAAGGTTACTACAATAATTGGTACACTACTTCAGATTTCGGAAACTATACCATTAATTACGCACGAGGTGAGCTAACGTTTATTTTGTGATTGTCCAATATAAGATCTGTTCACCGTTTCACCATCTATTACAATGAGAGAATACTGATTCCGTTTCAGAATCTCTTGAGTGAGATGAGTGAGACTGCATCCACCTTAGTGAATACGAGGTTTGCAGTTATGTAATGCATACTCAGATTCTGTGATTTCTGATTAGAATGCAAGGTTTTATGCGGAGACGTGACGGTGTCAGTGTGTTTTATTTTGTGCTCAACACGTTTTCGTATGTTCTCTTACAGTTCCGAGGATCAGCAATGTTCACATTCGAATGTCATCCGATCTGTCTTCGCACGTGTCATGGGAGCGCGAGAAGTCGGAGTGTGAACCACGTTGTTCCACAATAATATTCCGAGGACTTCGAACAGAACAACTGGAAATGTTCCACACTTCGGACAACCAATTTCAATACTCTCCAAACAGCTCTGGAATGACCGGACGAGAAGAAGTAGTGTTCATTATTTTCAACAAACTGGAAAACCGTTTCTCTCTGCCAGCAATCGGTAACCTCTTATTCCAGTCTGTCACATATTGTTACACTTTAATTGACGAGATTGTTGATGCAAACTAAGCTCTCACATACTCGTTGCACACGCTCATTTACCAACGAATACACAGGTACTATCAACCTGGTCACTTATGCATCAATATTCCTCATCTTCATTGGAGTCGAGTGTACGGTGTGCAGTGATGTGTTGTGGACTGAAATAAAATGTCAGCCGCCTGTTCATATTGTCAGCGTGTTTGCTGAGATTCGTTTCCACTGTGATGTACAAAGATCTACTCACCAGTGTGAGCGTAATGCAAGTGAAGTTTCGAAGCAATAGTAACGCTGATGACTGACATATTTGGCGCACACGTTTTCAGTTACTGCATGTACTGAATTCAGTTGGTCGGACAGTGTTAGTTGAATGCTTGGTGCGGCACTTATTTCAAGTCAGAGTCTATCGACTGTATGTGAAAACTAGTCATTTTGAACTTTTACTAACTGCGATATGATTTGCATTGATGCGCTGAAATTTATCAAATGACAGCTAGTTTCATACTATGATCACTTGCAATACCGATGTCAATATCGAATAACTGAATGACGTAGTCAGCTGTAACCAATCTCAGATCTAAGAAACCACTGCTTATTTTGTAGGTCATCCCAATACATGATACGCAGAAGAAAACGAAATGTCTTAGTTTGTATCCATGTTTCAGAGTAATCAGTTACTGAAGCAACTCAAGCTCAGCAACTAGCGAATACTTCTAATTGAGGAACCGAAATTTCAGTCTGATCTGCAGAGCATAATTTGTAATTTTCATTCTTCGCATTCAATTGTTCAGCAAAACTGACTGTTTTTAAATTTTTCTGTTTTCCGGTGGAATGAAAATGTCAATATCACGAATGTGAGTTCACTGATTACACGTTTGAACAACGAAGAGATTGTTTAACTGTTTGATATACTCCGATTAGTAAGATGAACAGAAAATATCGAATTCAGTTCAATCCACCGTCGGGATGACAATGAATGGAGGACAGTCATTGGAAACGTGGAAGCATTAGACCTCATTCGTGGTCATCAGTGAATGTCTGGGTGAGGGGACGAAATATCGCGTCTTGATCGAATTTAGAAGATTACACTGTTGGATGCTAGTTCAGTGATCAACACTTCAAGCGTTTGCGCGTCAGACAGAAGTTCTTGTGTTCGATTCTTGCCTACCGACTCGTGGATATGCACTGTTGACGAGTTACTCACTGGGACAGAATATTGGTCTAGTGCTATCAGGTTTCCGATGGCTGCTCCAACACTGGTCAGTTCAGGATGTCAATCAAGTGAATAAATCTGCACAACCCTATTATAAAAGTAAACATGAATTAGATAGATTGATGAATTGTGTGCATTTCGCAAGACGAACATGAAGTGGAATTTTATTATGCGTTTCACAGAAACTACGTGGAATTCATTCTTCAGTGAACTGTCACCACCTCGTATTTCATATACATTGATTTGTGAGTGGTCAATCTGACCTTCGAAATGATTCGCGTAAGCTTCCTCTCTTATCATCTAACGACATCTGACAAGGAGCGTTTTTTGTTTTTCAGATAGCGAAAGGAAAATGTAAGTCATCCAAGTGTATTTCTTATTATGACATTCATAGAAGTTTACCAATCACTTGAGAATGCATAGAGAGGAGCAATCTGAGAAATCGCTGAAATGAACGGTAATAAGAACAACTCAATTTCAGGCCGACATGGCTCAGAGCACCTAGGAATCAGAATATGATAACCACAGAATAGGCACTCAATGGCAGTGGTGGGCGATGGAAAAGTGAAAAAACATTCACCTATATAACAGGCATCGATGAACGTAATGATTGGGAGTCAAAAATTCTTGTAATGTGCTTGATTTTTTCATTGAACAGATGCAGAAAACGTGATGGCCAATGCGGAAATCACAGAGGTCGCTCAACGTGAGTTTCAAACACAACACTGTTATTTTGCACGCAATGTTACTTCCGCAGTTGCTTGTGAACGCGTTGCCATTGGCAGTTTGCATGTGAATGTTGGGTGCTCTGACTGACGTGAGTGAGATTTTGTTTCAGTGTGTGAAGAAACGTTTTTTGATGCATGCACCCATTTTGACTGAATTATGGCGAGTGAGTGGGTGTTTATATTCGCTCTGATGGAGCGTTAAATGTGCGTAAAGCTATCAGTGGATGCGTCAGTGGAGATTGAGATTTGTACTGTGTGTCAGTGATTGGAATATCGTATGTGCCTCAAGTTGTTGATGGATGTAGTCGGATTTGTTGTTCGTCACTGCTGCATTGTGTACTTTCCATGTAGTATCGGTCAGTGCAAGGATGTATTGGTTTGCGTTGTGTTCCATGCACAAATTTGATTGGAAATGACTATTTGGATGAATCTTTATGGTGCATGGTGCTGGTGAGTTTCAAATTTGATTTAGTTGGTCCGCACAATTAGTTTTCGACTTCAACCGCACTGAGCGTGAATAGTTCTGGTTTCATCAGGTTAGTTCAGTTTACATGTTTTGAGTGTTTCGGAACAAAATAGTGATGTTAGGTTGTTGTCGACTTGTTTCACTGAACAGATGTAGAAAACGTGACGGTGAATGCGGAAATCACAGAGAGCACCGAACGTGAGTTTCAAACACAAAACTGTTATTTGGGACAAAATGTCTCTTTCTCATTTGAGGGTCAATTACTATATATTTGTTTTTTCCCTTTATCGTTTAATTAGTTTTACGCAAATATATGCCTTTCCATTCCTTTCCACTCACTCTCCTAGATGTTTGAAAGACTTTTTCGAATGGCTATGTCAATAATTCGAAGGCAATTTCAATGAGTATTATTTGTAATAATTCCGATAATTTCGTCAATCATGCACGATTTTGAATAACATGGAAATCGTTGCAACGAGTGATTTTCACAGCATCGACAGTCAAGGCGGAAATAAAAATAAATATTTCAGTAAGAGAAAGTCAAACGTCACTAATTTGATGAGCATAAGCATCGGAAACATCTCAGCATCTTACAAGTTCAGAGTAGTCCATCGTCAAAATAAGATATATAAGTATGAACTTTTAGTACTGCCTCAGAATAATATTATCGTATTATAAAAACACGTCGAATATTTCATTTGCACTTTTCAAAATATAACCGCAATAGTACCAATTTCAAGTAAAAACATATTACAAAAATTATTAAAGTGTTCCGAATAGGTAAGTCCTTACTTTTAAAATAATGGACTGGTGAAGTAGTTCAAATGCACCTGTCATCATATTTCTTTATTTATTTCAGCAGTCTCATCAGCAATCATATCAAAACAGAGTGTCATTACCGAGTATCGACCTGCTTACTTAGGAACCAATATGATTGGAAGTTAGTTGAAAATAAACATTTACTCATTCTGTATTCCGTATCAACATCCATGTAAAACTACTTTTGTTGAACACACTTTTCAGTCTTATCACAGATCAATATATGTATTATGTATGTAGGTATGTAGGTATCGGTGCATAGATGTTCATGTCACATGATATTGTCTTTGTATGAAATTGTGCTTGAAAAGTATAATCATTGTGAACAGGACGGTAAATTTGTTCGCTGTGTATAAGTAAGATCAAGTAAATGGTGAGCATCGAATTCACTGAATCAAATGAGTTATATGTAGAAATCATATTGCTGATAATGTGAAATGTGATTGAAATTGTCGATCAAATACATCAGCTCATACCTGTAAATTGACAAACATTATCACGAAAGTCACTGTCAACGAAACTCATCATTGACCTGTGACTAATAGTTCGTTGAATAGGAGACAACTAGTGTTTGCATCATTGACTGAATAGGTTATCTGTATTGGCTACCCATAACATAGTTATTTCATAGATTTATTTATTTGTTTATTGATTGAAACACATAAACATCGGAATGTGTGGTGCACCTGAGGATTATCAGTAAAAAAATTGGTTTGACTGACATAAACAGGGACCATGCTTCTCAGTTGTATAGTCATCAGGCTTGATTCTATGATATATATGGATATTTCTGGTGAAACGTTGAAGCAGTGAGGGCAATGACATGTAGTACACAACTACACTGAGAGGTTGAGTGTACGAATTGATAGTAAGTAGAGACGTGTGCTAGTGTTAGTGTAAGCGGAGAATAAGTATTTGGTCAAACATGGGTGAATGGATTTTATGACTGCACAAACAACACACATTTAAAATTAAGAAACAAGAAGTGTGAAAATAACTGTTCAGTTAGGAATGAGAATGAGAGAAAGTGAGCAATGACAAACGATGACGTGTTGTGAGAAGTAGTTACATCATGATCAATCATATCTGGCAAGAAACACTTTAATTTGGTCTACAGGTTCGAATCTCTATAGCTTCTACTACACGAAACAGATAGCATTCAATGCCATTAAGAAATATCAAAGACATACTCTAAATCAGTCAAAGTAACATAGTTTTATCTACTAAATGGTCATGGAACACACAATTAGGATTCAGAAACACGAATTATGAAAATAACTTTTCAGTGAGGAATGAGATTGGAAGGAAGTGAGCAATGACAAATGATGACAAGATATGAAAAAACGAAAATTATGTTTCCAAACACATATGACAAGGACGATACAGGAGTGTCGTTTATGATTTCAGAGGTTGTGTGTTCGAGTATCTATTGCTACTGCCTGTTGTATAAGGCTCGAATGAACCCTATCAGGAAATAGAAAGAAATAACAACACATCACTTGAAATGATTCAGTTTTAATAATTTCGTGAGCTGCTTGAGTCACTCAATGTCAGACTACCAGTAACAAGATGATGAAAATAATTCATCCCTTTGAATTCGATTGAAACTCTCACCCTAGTGTATTCTTTCTTTCAAACAGATGATTCAGCAACAAGTACTTTACACATAATTCTAGAAGAGACGTCAAAAATAATGATTTTATGGAAAATTTGGGAGGAAGATTCTATTCACAAGGTTTATACGGAAAGATCAAAAGTATTGAGTAGTTCTACTTTTATAAAGCGCGTAGAATCTAATTTTGCTTTATTGTCACCGATTGGGAAACCGTGCGAAGCTAAAACGTATAATGCAGAAGGTTACTACAATAATTGGTACACTACTTCAGATTTCGGAAACTATACCATTAATTACGCACGAGGTGAGCTAACGTTTATTTTGTGATTGTCCAATATAAGATCTGTTCACCGTTTCACCATCTATTACAATGAGAGAATACTGATTCCGTTTCAGAATCTCTTGAGTGAGATGAGTGAGACTGCATCCACCTTAGTGAATACGAGGTTTGCAGTTATGTAATGCATACTCAGATTCTGTGATTTCTGATTAGAATGCAAGGTTTTATGCGGAGACGTGACGGTGTCAGTGTGTTTTATTTTGTGCTCAACACGTTTTCGTATGTTCTCTTACAGTTCCGAGGATCAGCAATGTTCACATTCGAATGTCATCCGATCTGTCTTCGCACGTGTCATGGGAGCGCGAGAAGTCGGAGTGTGAACCACGTTGTTCCACAATAATATTCCGAGGACTTCGAACAGAACAACTGGAAATGTTCCACACTTCGGACAACCAATTTCAATACTCTCCAAACAGCTCTGGAATGACCGGACGAGAAGAAGTAGTGTTCATTATTTTCAACAAACTGGAAAACCGTTTCTCTCTGCCAACAATCGGTAACCTCTTATTCCAGTCTGTCACATATTGTTACACTTTAATTGACGAGATTGTTGATGCAAACTAAGCTCTCACATACTCGTTGCACACGCTCATTTACCAACGAATACACAGGTACTATCAACCTGGTCACTTATGCATCAATATTCCTCATCTTCATTGGAGTCGAGTGTACGGTGTGCAGTGATGTGTTGTGGACTGAAATAAAATGTCAGCCGCCTGTTCATATTGTCAGCGTGTTTGCTGAGATTCGTTTCCACTGTGATGTACAAAGATCTACTCACCAGTGTGAGCGTAATGCAAGTGAAGTTTCGAAGCAATAGTAACGCTGATGACTGACATATTTGGCGCACACGTTTTCAGTTACTGCATGTACTGAATTCAGTTGGTCGGACAGTGTTAGTTGAATGCTTGGTGCGGCACTTATTTCAAGTCAGAGTCTATCGACTGTATGTGAAAACTAGTCATTTTGAACTTTTACTAACTGCGATATGATTTGCATTGATGCGCTGAAATTTATCAAATGACAGCTAGTTTCATACTATGATCACTTGCAATACCGATGTCAATATCGAATAACTGAATGACGTAGTCAGCTGTAACCAATCTCAGATCTAAGAAACCACTGCTTATTTTGTATGTCATCCCAATACATGATACGCAGAAGAAAACGAAATGTCTTAGTTTGTATCCATGTTTCAGAGTAATCAGTTACTGAAGCAACTCAAGCTCAGCAACTAGCGAATACTTCTAACTGAGGAACCGAAATTTCAGTCTGATCTGCAGAGCATAATTTGTAATTTTCATTCTTCGCATTCAATTGTTCAGCAAAACTGACTGTTTTTAAATTTTTCTGTTTTCCGGTGGAATGAAAATGTCAATATCACGAATGTGAGTTCACTGATTACACGTTTGAACAACGAAGAGATTGTTTAACTGTTTGATATACTCCGATTAGTAAGATGAACAGAAAATATCGAATTCAGTTCAATCCACCGTCGGGATGACAATGAATGGAGGACAGTCATTGGAAACATGGAAGCATTAGACCTCATTCGTGGTCATCAGTGAATGTCTGGGTGAGGGGACGAAATATCGCGTCTTGATCGAATTTAGAAGATTACACTGTTGGATGCTAGTTCAGTGATCAACACTTCAAGCGTTTGCGCGTCAGACAGAAGTTCTTGTGTTCGATTCTTGCCTACCGACTCGTGGATATGCACTGTTGACGAGTTACTCACTGGGACAGAATATTGGTCTAGTGCTATCAGGTTTCCGATGGCTGCTCCAACACTGGTCAGTTCAGGATGTCAATCAAGTGAATAAATCTGCACAACCCTATTATAAAAGTAAACATGAATTAGATAGATTGATGAATTGTGTGCATTTCGCAAGACGAACATGAAGTGGAATTTTATTATGCGTTTCACAGAAACTACGTGGAATTCATTCTTCAGTGAACTGTCACCACCTCGTATTTCATATACATTGAGTTGTGAGTGGTCAATCTGACCTTCGAAATGATTCGCGTAAGCTTCCTCTCTTATCATCTAACGACATCTGACAAGGAGCGTTTGTTGTTTTTCAGATAGCGAAAGGAAAATGTAAGTCATCCAAGTGTATTTCTTATTATGACATTCATAAAAGTTTACCAATCACTTGAGAATGCATAGAGAGGAGCAATCTGAGAAATCGCTGAAATGAACGGTAATAAGAACAACTCAATTTCAGGCCGACATGGCTCAGAGCACCTAGGAATCAGAATATGATAACCACAGAATAGGCACTCAAAGGCAGTGGTGGGCGATGGAAAAGTGAAAAAACATTCACCTATATAACAGGCATCGATGAACGTAATGATTGGGAGTCAAAAATTCTTGTAATGTGCTTGATTTTTTCATTGAACAGATGCAGAAAACGTGATGGCCAATGCGGAAATCACAGAGGTCGCTCAACGTGAGTTTCAAACACAACACTGTTATTTTGCACGCAATGTTACTTCCGCAGTTGCTTGTGAACGCGTTGCCATTGGCAGTTTGCATGTGAATGTTGGGTGCTCTGACTGACGTGAGTGAGATTTGAGGGGGATTTTGTGTATATCGATGTTTCGACACGTGTGCACACATTTCGCTTAACATGTTGCAAGTGAGCGGGAGTGATGTGCCTGAGATACGCACCGAAATCAGTGGATGAGAGAGCCATCATGGAGATGCGCGCAGCGTGCGACAGCATGGGCGTATGGACGTGCCCCAATTGTTTTTTTAAAGTAGGTGCATTTGGTGTTCGGCACTGCTGCATTGTGTACTTGTCCATGTAGTATCGATCGGTGCAAGGATGTATTGGTTCGCGTTGCGTTTCGTGCACACATGTGATTGGCAATGACTATTTGGATACATTGTAATTGTGCATTGTGCTGACCGGTTTGAATTTTGATCGAGTTGGACAGCACTATCACTAGTTGTCTTGAATTGCACTGAGTGTGAATTGTGCCGGTTTAATCCGGTCAGTTCAGTTTACATGTTTTGTGTGTTTCAGAATACGTGAGTGATCATTATTTGTTGTTGATTCGTCTCACTGAACAGATGCAGAAAGCATGAAGACGAATCTGGAAATCGAAAAACCCAAGGACCGTGAGTTCCGTAAACATCAGCTGTGATTTATTTATTTTCCTGATCAAATGTCTTTCCTTTTTATATTGATTTTTGTATTGAATGCTTGATTGCAGATCATCTCCACTTGGTTACATTTTCACGATTGTCTTTTATTATTTGCTACCTGTGTTATTCTTCACTTCTTATTTTATTGATCTAATCGTTTTATTTCCTTGAATATGGTTTAACATTCATTTCGCTTATTCACTCCTCAAAATAATAGCTACCTCTTGTACATCTTAAGCTGAAATGATTTTTCCCACACTCTTTAGGAATGTATATGACGAACATTTCCAGATAACAAACACGTGCAACAATGATTTTCCGGTGTAAACGAGAGAGCTTTGATCGGAGTAAAATCGATGGAATGATAGGTACATGTACTGATCGTTGATGAACGTGTGGTGGCGATCGAGTCAAAACTGACTATGATTGCTTTAAACATATAAATTTTGAGTCTGTCATTGAGAAGAAGGCTTATTCCATACTTAAGAATACATTTGCTGGTGATTTCGTGGTATCGAAAGAATACCGAAATCGTGCCAGGAAAGAGGGGCGAAATTCTATACACAGTGGAGCCGAAACAGCAGCAACACAAACAGAACGTTCGCGCGTACAGATCGTAATAAACAAAGAGATTCACTAAAATAATCAGTGGTGCAATCTGTTATGATAACAAGTGTTTCTATTATACCGATCGCTTTCTCTTCATCACAGTAGCTCACCACAAACGTAATTACTGACTTTTCTACATCTAGATAATTGAGTAATAAATCGATGATTACAGAAGATGAACGAGATTTGTGGATTATTCTTTAACTGACTGAGTCTATTGGTCCCCCCTTTTTTTCTGATGACATTTTGATATTAATTTATTATGATAATATTGTTGGATGACATTCATTAAATTGTAGTCTTAAACTTTGGAGTTTGTAAAGACTGCAAAGCTGCAGTGCTCCGAGATTCATCATCTGGACAGAAGGTTCAAATCGGGAAACACTAAACAAATGTTTCGTCCGAGTGAAGCACTTTACGGAAGTTTTCATAGACGACTGAATCCTTGATAAAACTCGTCCGTTCGGTCTCTCAGTACCATACACCGTTATTTGATATTCTAATTTCTTGAATAATTAGTTGATATATGAATAATCAAGAAAAAATCGGCACATACTCACTATACCCATGGCACACACGATTTGGCTGGCGTATTTATGAACATCTTTCGATGTGATATTATCGTATGATGATTGTTTTGTGTTTCATTTGACGACAAACATTTGGCAAGCAATTCAAATAATTCGTCTATAACCTCTCAAGCTTTACATCATTGCGTCAATCAATAGTTATATTTACAAGTGGTTGAATCAAAATTAGTCATCAGTGACTTTAAATAATTGTAGACAGGTCATTAACTAACGAGTTAATTGGACATTAACGAACAGGAGAGTTCAAGTGAGTTAAGGCCTATATGTGGTGGATAAGCGACACTGGCTTATACATCAGGCAGTTTGACGCAGAAAACACTTGTTATTATTTGTATTTAGTGAATTATCTTCACGAAACCTTGCCGTTTGTTTTCATTGTGAGTAGTATGAACGGAAAACAGACTATATTCAGTTATATTTCGTTAAATGTAGGTCAAAGGAAACTGAGACAAGAGTGACGTCTCAAATGTTAACATATGTACCTGTGGATGTGATTTTCCTTCGGACTCCATGATTTATCAGTTTATGGAATTGTTCATGTAGAAATAGTAAGAATTTCCGAAAATCATTACAGCCAAATAATAAGACTTGATGAAGATATACCACAAGTT